CAATGCTGGTCCCTCATCACCGGGCACTCTTTTATTGGGGTATTACTTTCCAATAGGTCGCTTCTGGTGGCTCCCTCCCCTTTTTGTTTATCTTCTGATATCAGTCTGATGTTCCCATTCCGCTTTACCGGTCCACTGGCATCTTCTGCCTCCATAGAGATCCAGAAGTGTATAATTATAATCTCAGGCTGATTTCATGAGTGATCAGAGTTCTTTGGTAGGTAATCAGCTCACTTTAGGGGACCAGTTGAAACATCACTTCCTACTTCTCCACCATCCACAATCTTGTCTCCTCCCCACCCCTCCAGTGGTTTTCTTATGCCCTTTTCCCACCCACCTGCCCAGTCCCCGGGTCACCACTGATCTGTTTTTTGTAATTTAGATTAGTGTGATTTTCTAGAATCTTACAGAAATAGAATTATATAGTAAATACTCTCCTTTGTTTGGCTTCTTTCACTCAATATAATTATTTTGAGGTTCTTCTGTCTTGGTGCAGTTATTAATAGTTCATTTCTGAGTAGTATAGCATTCCATTGTATAGATACAGCATAGTGTGTTTATCCAGTCAGTCAGTTGTTGATGGGCATTTGGGTTGCTTCTAGTGTTTGGCTATAAACAAAGCTACTGTAAACATTTATGTACAAGTCTGTATGTGCACACATGCTTTCCTGTCTCTTGAGAATGGAACGGCTGAATCGTGTAAAGTTCTATGTTTAACAGCCAGACTGTTTCCCGTAATGGTTGACATTCTCACCAGCAGTATGAGAGTTGTAGTTACTTTATATTCTCACTGATACTTAGTGTGATCAGTGTTTTCATTTTAGTGGTAGTGGTATCTTATTGTGGATTTAATTTGCACTTCTCTCATGAGTAGTGTACTCATCTCAAGATCATGAGTGATCTTGAACATCTTTCTTGTGCTATTTTCCATCTGTGTGTCTTGGGCAGCCTCTACATTCAAATTGATTGACCATATTTTTAATTGGGTTGTTTGTCTTCTTAATATTGAATTTTTGAAGTTCTTTATATATTCCAGATTTAATAGCTTTATCAGCTATGTGACTTGGAAATATTTTCTCCCCATCTCTGACTTGTCTTTTCATTCCCTTAATTGTGCCCTTCAAAGAGGAAAAGTTTTTAGTTTTTATAAAGTGCAGTTTATAAATTTTTCTAATATGGATTGCGCTTTTGGTGACCTAAGGAATCTTTACCTAGCCTAAGATCACAAAGATCTTCTATGTTTTCTTTTAGAAATTCTATAGTTAATGTGTTTCACATTTAAGTCCTTGATTCCTTCTGAGTTAATTTCAAATTCTTCCATGGATTATTAGCCTCTGAGTGCTTACTACAGATACTGTAGTGCCAGAAAGTTCTGTGTTTTTGCTTGACTGGCAACTTTCCAACACACCTTGCATGCTAGCTCAACCCAATGTCTGTTTCTCCGTGTTCTTATGCCTTTCCTGGTGTGGTATACTGCCTTTGTTTATTATTTGGTTTGAAGCATGATACAGAGAGAGTTTTTTTAAAAATTGAAACAAAGTAATAAACCATTTTATAATGTTAGATTATGTTTGTGCTATTGGCCTTAAAAAGATATCTAAATATTGTTACTTTGTCAAGAGAAATTGTCAAGCCTTGCAGTTCTCACAGTTGAAAATGAGATAAGCAAAGAAGATTTTGAAAATATTGCTGAATTTGTTCCATTAAAGCCAGGAAAATAAAATTATAATGTATTCTGTGTTATAAACAAAATACTTAAGCTAATGGTGAGTTTTAATACTTTTTGACTGTTTGATATTGAGATTTTGTTTTGTCATTATTTTTTCAACACTTAAATAAGTTCTGGAAAAAAATTAACCATTCAAAAACCCCTAAAAACCTATCTATAGTGGCACACAGTTTTCCTTTTACCTTAGGGTCCAGTATGGCTCAGCTGAACTCTGGTACTTATTTAAAACTTTAATAATGTTCATTGGATTTTTTGGCATTGATTTTGACTTTTAGAAGCTATTTTGTTAAAATAGTACTTATTTTAATTACTGAGTTTTTGGTGCTCCCTTAAATCTTGTCCAGATCCCTCACTCTTCTTGTCCTAGATCCAGCCCTCTTTAAAAGCAATAAGACTCACATTTGAAGAATATTTATAGAATACAAGTTAGCGAATAGAAGTTAAAAGTTCATAGAATCAGTCCAATTAATTGAATCTAATTCATAGAATCTAGTCCAACTAGATTTCATTTACTCATTTATTCATTTTCTCTTCACATGAATCAATATAGTGGCAACCACTAGGGTTGAAGAGGCATCTGAAGGAGATAGGGGTGGTCATAACCATAGTGTGGATGGGGTATTTAAAAGTCCAAAAAGGTGTGATATATAGCGAGAAACTTTTTGAAATTAAAATGAAAAGGATTTCATAATGGTAGTTACAGTAACAATATCTTTGTGAACGTAGGACCTTAAAAGATATTAAAGTGGCCATGCAAAGCTCTCAAGTATTTATCCCTGATTTCCATGTTGAAACACTATACTATGTGGCCCTACTACACAAATTTTCTTTCTAATGTTGTTCTTATTTAAAGAGTGCCTCAGTGGGCATCAGGGTGGCTCAGTCAGTTAAGCATCCAACTCTTGATCTCAGCTCAGGTCTTGATCTCAGGGTTGTGAGTTCAGGCCCTGAGTTGGGCTTCATGCTGGGCATAGAGCTTCCTTCAAAAACAAAGTGAAAGAAAGAAAGAATAAAAAATAAAAGAGTGCCTTAGAGAATAGCTGATGCCTTATCTTGTGGGTAAAATATACTTTTCAAATAGTAGACACTCTCCTAACCATTTGCATATATGAACTCATTTAAAACTTCATTAACAATCTACTGTAGTAGGCACTGTTAGTATCCTGTTTTACAGATGAGAAGACTCAGGAATGAGTTAAGGAATTGACTCAGGTTATACAGTAAATACAGAACCTAGATTTGAACCTTAGCAGTCTGACTTCTGACTCTGGTTTGTAACTCCCAAGCTGTACTACTTCACACCTATAGGAGTTTCAGAATACAACAAGATGGGATAGATCAAATATGTATGTATTCATTTTCCATTGCTGCTCTAACAAATTATCAGGTTAATTAAAAAAAAAAAGTCATGGACTATGGGCAGATATGGATCAGACATTCTGCTTCTTTATAAAGTCTGTCCTTTGTATGAGTATTTTTCTTCTCTCCATGTAGAAATGATTGGATATAGACAACTGTGGGTAAGCCAAATGTTAAAAGTAAAACTGTGGGCCTATTCTAAGAAGAAAAAGGGCTGACAACAGTGGTCATGCACTATGACCGGGACAAAGTGTTTCCAAGAATGTGTTGCAAGATGATGGAATTGCCAGATGTCTGGGAAGAGAGCGGTGTGTGCAGACTTGATCTTAGATCTCTTGAGGAGTGGAGTGTCTGTTGACACTTGAGGTCCTCATGGGCACACTGGAGCCAATATTAAACTGAGGCACACCAAACTTTGTCCAAGAATGGATGAACATGGAGGCAAGAGACAAGGCCCCAGATTAAGGAGAAGTATGGGATAAAACAGTCCTGTGAGCACAGGCACTTCAACCATAGCTGTGAGAGAGCTTTAGCCCAGTAGCTGCTGGCTCTAGACCAAAAATTATTAGAGAGGGTTTGGTGACAGGAGAAGTAGAGGGAGGAGGGCACCTTAACTTCCCTTACTCATTCACAAACCACTGGTGACTTAGTGCTGTCATGTAGTCTTAACAATGGTGAGTTTCCACTAAGCCCCAGTATTCTAAATGGCACAGCAGTTACAAAATTGTATGCATTTGACTAACATGCATATATGTATCCACATCAGGATGACCTGTAGGAATTTGCTGAGACTGGCTCTATTTCTTGGTGGAACATCTCTTTGAAATAAGGTCGTGGGGAAAATACGACTTGATGTCCAAGTTTTAATTATTGCCTAAAACTTCTCATCAGGAGACCTACGTAGTTTTTTCCCCAGAAAATTTTGGAAGGGAAGGTCTTTTTGCCTAACTTCCAATACATTTTTCTTTTTAAAGATTGCTTCCTTCTTTCAGGTTAAGATCCCATTGAGAGCCTACACCTGATATTTAGGTGGGGTTTGCCAAGCCATCTCCATACTAAGATCTGAACACATTTACAGAACAATAGGTAATATGTTTCCATCCTCATGAGAGAGACTTCTCACTGAAGCGGCCTGCAGCACCAGAGTTTTCGCAGTTGACTGGTGTAGTTCTGAGTAAACTTTGATTTTTTCTCCTTGGCGGCAACCAGAGAGAGATTCCACTAGAGGACTGAACCCGTAAATGTGATTGTCACCACCAGGAAAGAAACATGCTATTTTGAGTATTTGTAGAATGTTCTCATCAGAATGTTTTGTGAGTAGAAGTTTTATTTTTAACTTTAGAGATTAGAAAAAATCATTTATTTTATGCCTGATGAGATATTTACATCTAAACTGCTGTGGGCATGTATGTTACTTTAATAGCAATCATTTTGACTCTTTTTTAAGAGTTTTAAAGAGGTTCATATTTAAAGTACTTTCATCTTAAAGGTATCTTTCTCTCCTATGACATTGCTTTGTTTCCGAAGGTCAGTTTTCTATTTCTTAAAAAATTGTATCTTTTGTCATAAGTACACATTTTCTCTATATAACTTACCTTTGAAAATATATCTTAGGGGTGCCTGGGTGGCTCAGTGGGTTAAAGCCTCTGCCTTTAGCTCAGGTCATGATCTCAGGGTCCTGGGATCGAGTTCCAAGTCTGGCTCTCTGCTCAGCGGGGAGCCTGCTTCCCTTCCTCTCTCTCTGCCTGTCTCTCTGCCTACTTGTGATCTCTGTCTGTCAAATGAATAAATAAAGTCTTTAAAAAAAGAAAAAAGAAAGAAAGAAAATATATCTTAATCCATCTTGAGTTTTTTTATGTGTATGGTATAAATTTACAGACTCCGTTCCTAACTCAGTGTTTTAAACTTTCAGGCTCAACTTTAAAGAAGCTTCTACACACTGGAAATTCTGTTAAGGTATTTATTTTAGCTGAACCTGCAATGGAATTTTGCATCATTCTTAAATTTATTCGTGCCTCAAAGTGACAAAATTAGGCCATTGTGGGGGGGCGGATCTTTAAACACCACCTGACTTTTTATTTTCAATTGAAAATTTTTTGGCAAATATTGGTAGAGTTTTTGTTTTAATTTCATAACTTACTGTGATACCCACTTTAAATATTCAGAGAACAGGGCTTGGGATTCAGAATTTGGAATTTGGAGTTCTAATTTTGACTCTGCTGTATACAGTCAGGGAACCATTGGCGAGATGCTAACTGCTCCACGTTTATCATCAGGAAAGGGAGGAAGCCAGTTCCTCTCCAAGCTTCAGAGTGAATGTGCTGATTCGGTTCATTCCAGTAGTCTTGTTAAATTATAGTTGTTTCTGAATTGTTTTTGCCGGTTTTGAGGACTATTATGGGAGAAAAGAGCAGCAGAGCTTTACTCCTCTTGAATGCAGCAGATTGATCTTGTATTTTAGGTTAACGTGGCTTATTTTAAAATGAACCTACCTTTTATACTGATAGATGCCATTTGATACTAAATAAGATGACCCTAAAACATAAATGGCAAAAGAAGCAGCCTGGAATATGTATTTTATGGGAAGTTATTCCCTTGTAGCTAATCAAGTTATGTGTGTACCTTTGATAAGTTCATGTATTTTTTGTTTTATACCAGTTTAAACACTCATAACCACTTAAATTTTATGTTAACAATCTCTTACATGTTGAAAAGGGAGGTGAGCTATTCCTAGCTTCACAATATTTTATCCCTCTTATTTTAATTAAGAATCATAGTTAGGGGCACCTGGGTGGCTCAGTGGGTTAAAGCCTCTGCTTTCAGCTCAGGTCATGATCCCAGGGTCCTGGGATCGAGCCCCACATCGGGCTCTCTGCTCGGCAGGGAGCCTGCTTTCCTTCCTCTCTCTGCCTGCCTCTCTGCCTACTTGTGATCTCTGTCTGTCAAATAAATTTAAAAACAAAAACAAAAAAAGAGAATCATAGTTAAAACTTACGATTTTGTGACCTCATGTTTATTATTGGCCTTATTTATAGTTAAATGCAGTTAAGAAAAAAGTTGGAGATATGGTAGAATTTTGTAGAAACTATTCTCCTGTTAAATTTAATCTAATTTGGTTAGATATACATAGAGCCATGTCATTTTTTGTCTGTTATATTCAGCAATGTCACTACTTATTTTGCCTGCTTGGGCAGAGGAGGATGGGTGTGAGTGGTCATGAAGGTTTGTGCTCAGCTATGGTGTGTCTCTGGGCATGTCTGAGAGTGTGTCCTGGAATCCACTGTTGATGGGGTAGAACTGTCTCCAGACACAGGATCTGTCTTGGTGTATTTTACTTCTATGGGAAGTCAGTGAAGTTTGCTCCTTCCCTCCCCTCCCCTCCCCTCCCCTTCCTCTCCCTTCCCTTTCCCTCTCCCTCCCTCTCACTTTCCCCTCTCCCTTTTCCCTTCACCTCTCCCTCTCCCTTTCTCTCTCCCTTCCCCTTTCTTCTTTCAGCTTTCCAGGAGAGCCTCACGTTTGGCTTAAATACTTCCTCTTAAGGAATCTGCACCACCTTGGTGCAGTTGAGAGGTGATCAGGCAACTCAGCTCAGGTGCCTGCATTTGGAGCTCACTGCATCTTTCAGCTTCATTTGACTTGTTATTCATCTCTTTTCCTTATTTCATTTCTTATATTGGTGTTATCCTTTCAGCCATTTAGAAATAGAGAAACAGAAGTACTTACCTGAATTCTAGGAATGGGGTAGAGCTGAAAGTAAGTGTAGAGGAGGACACAGGGCCCATCTGCTTGAGTGATGTATTCCACCAAGTCATGCTGGGCGCGCAAAGGGAAGCTGTTGGGGAGAGCAGAGTAGGGACATGAGGCAGGGAAGCTGGAGAGCTGCCCTGTCCCACTGAGCCAGGTCTTCAGGGTCTTACTTAGCTCTGAAATTTTTCAAGAACATTACATGATACATGTGCATATTGTAGTGACATACAAAAACCCTATTCAAAGCACACTGTAAATTTGGAGGACGATTATCTTTGCATTGTTTTTGTGATTAACCAATTGTTGATGGTATGGGCACTGTTGTAAGTCACTGAACCGTGTGCCAGTGCTTTGTGGTAAATTCTGTTATGATCCCCATTTTTCTGAGGGGTAGACTGATGCAAAGAGAAAAGTTCAGTGGTTCTCCACTGGCCACAGCTAAGCCAGCAAGCAGCAGAGCCTGCATTGGAACCCAGGCACTGTGGCTCCGGACCCCAAGTTCTCACCCTTGTGCTTCTTGCGGCACAACTACTTCCTTGTCACTAAGAACTTTGTTCAGGAATTTAACAGTACCTTTAACTTCTAGTTTTTCTTTCTCAGAACTGAATCTGTGTTGCACTGCATCTCTGCATAAACATGTGTTTAAATTTGTCGCCTTTAATTTTGTTTTTAGATAAGATGTGAAGGAATCAGGCTGTTTCTTCTGTGGCTTCAAGCACTTCAGACAAACTGTGCAGAAGAGCAGGTGCTGATTTTTGCTTGCCTCGTGCCTGGTTTCCCAGCGATCATGTCATCCAGAGGGCCATGTACACTGGAGACACTCATCAATCCTAGCCCTGGTGTGGCTGATGGTGAGAAGCATTAACCAGCCTTACAGGTTGAAATGACTCTGAAGTTCTATTGAGGGATTCCTCGGTTTGTCATGATCCTGAATAAAAATCTTTATTTCGTAGATGGGTTCGGAGGAGGAATCATTCCCTGCTCATATTCACAGTAAAGTCTTACAGACATTAGAAAGAATCAGAGCCTATTTTGTATGAAATAAGGACAGGAGACATTTACTGAAGTGGTGGAAACAGGAATGGAAGGGAGGAATCAGATGTTGGGAATGGCAGGAAGTAGAGACATATCATATATCTGGAGTGTTTTTATGGCTGTGAATGAGATTTAAACCCAACATCTGAAACTATTGTTTATTGTCCTCATCATGATTGTTTCATGAGTGGACATTCATCTGCTCACCAGCTGTGTATTTTCATGCTGCATTGATGGAAGGACAGTAGCTGCCTCCTGGGAGTAGTCATGGCAGCCATCTGTGTCCCATGAGTTTTTAAGAAACTTGCCCATTAGGGCCATTGATTGATTAATGCATATCACTTTATTGCCCAGTGACAGGTACTTGATCCTTAGGCTCACCAAAGCAGAATTTGGCAGAGAGAAGAATGGTTTAGAGGGAGAGGTGGCTTCATGGGCATTTGTACCATATTTCCAAGCCCTTGATGCACACTGGCCTGGAGTGTAGTGTGAGCAGGTTCCAGTGGAGGGGCAGATGGATTTTAATGGAGGCCATTTTTAAAAAACCCTTTGAACTTTGGTGAAAGAACTCTCCTTTATTTTTTCCCTATTCTGCAGCAAAGATATATCCAGAAGAAATCACCCCGCTCCTGCCAGCCATATCAGGGGAAAAGATCGCTGAGGACCAAACATGCTTTTTTCTTCAAATACTGTTGAAATATATGGTTATTCAGGTAAGAGCAAAATCATGGATAATTCAGGAATGGTCTTCCTCTCGATGGGAAAGAGAAAACCTTGCATCTTTTCTTCCAGCTCATCCATATTTTTAATTTTGCTTTTTCTTTGAGGTGATTCTTTGTGGTACTTCACTAGAACTAGAATATGTGCCAGATAACATCAGCAAAGACCTGGCATACATAATATTTTGTGTGAGTGTTTATGTCAAGGAAACAATTCAGTTCTCCCATCTACTTTCATATTATTACCACATTCACACAGAACACTTCACTTCTAATACTTGTGGTTACTGAGTGTGTGGGTTTTTCCCTCACCAGGCAACTCTGCGACACCAGCTGGGTGTCCTGTAGTTTCACTCAGCTTTGACGCTGTCTGCCTTGAGATGGCATCTGATCCCACAGGTTAAGGGCTCAGTCCCGTGAGACTGTTCCATCACATTCAGGTGCCAGTCACAAGTAGGAGGGGCCCAGGTTACCTACAACTTCTCTACAACTTGGCTACAAATCAGGGGTTCCTTCAACTCCTCCTCAGGTTCAACCTAGTGGCTCACAGAATTCTGGGAAACATTTGTTTTCATTCAGCAATTTATGAAAGGTATGATAAAGGATACAGATGAACAGCCAGATGCAGAGACACAAAGGGCACAGTCTGGGAGGGTCCCAAGCACGGGAATGTCTGTTCCTGTGGGGTTGGGGTTCATCACCCTCCTGCTCCATGGATATGATTACTCACCTGGAAGTTCCCTGAAACCCCTGGTTACTGGGATTTTTATGGAGCCTTCCTCACATGGACATGCTCCGCTTCCAGCCCCTCTCCCCTCTCTGGAGGAATGGAGGGGATGGGGTGAGGGTGCTGAACACTCTTAAGTTCAAGTCATGGTGTGGTGTGGTCTTCCTGCTGAGGAGTCCTCACTCAGGAGCCATCTGGGAGCCCACCCAGAGTTGTTACTAGAAGAAAAGGTGCTCCCAGTGCTCTTATAACTTAGGAAATTACAAGGGTTTTAGGGTCTCTGTGCCAGGAAATGGGGGCAGAGGCCCATGTGTGTTTTCTATTACGTCATAGTACATGAGTCTATTTTTGCCTCTTTGCTTCTTCCTGGCCCCTGATTGTATGCTAGCGGGGTGGAGGAGGAGGCAAGCCCAGAGGCTGACCAGGCAGATCAGGAATAGGCAGAGCAGGCAGGAAGATTTGGGCAAAAGCATGTGGAGGTATCTCTCAGTGCCACCAGCACAGACCTACTTGATATCATGTGTTCCTTTCTCTGAGTTTACCAACTGAATACAGAGTTACTATCATTAGTTCATGATTTCAGATCATGATCTCTTTCCCCTAGTCTGCATTTCTGGTATGGTTCCAAAAGAAGCTACCGAATTCTTTTCTCAGCCAGCACTCCTCACGTCTCTGAGTTCTTCCTGGGAACTCTGTCCAGTCTCTGTGTTCTCCACAACCAAGTTTGTTGATGTTATAATTTCTGCTCAGTCCACCTCCTCTCCTGACACTCACTGCCACCTGCCTCTGCCCTGTCACTGCTGAGACAGAGGCCCAAGACCATGAAGGAGGTCTAGAGGTCAAGTCCAGAGGAAGGACACTTTAGTGTTTGCCTTACTTAATCTTTCAGGTGATCTGACAATGACTGCCCCTTCTTCATGATATTCTCTCCTCTCCTAATGTTTTCTTCCTACTTTCCTCCTCCCTTTCTTTTTGCCACTTTACTTTCTTTTATTAATTAATTAATTAATTAATTAATTTATATATATTGTGTTATATTAGTCACCTTACAATAGATCATTAGTTTTTGATGTAGTGTTCAGTGATTGATTATTTGCATTTAACAGCCAGTGCTCATTACAATATATGCCCTCCTTAACACCCATCACCCAGCTACCCCATGTCCCCACCCCCTTCCCCTCTGAACCCCACAGATTGTTTGCTAGAGTCCATAGTCTGTCGTGGTTTGCCTCCCACCTCTGATTTCCCCCCTTCAGTTATCCTTCCTTCTCCGTGTCCTCTGTGCTATTCCTTATGTTCCACATATGAGTGAAACCATGTGAAAATTATCTTTCTCTGCTTGACTTAAATTAACTTCACCTAGCATAATCCCCTTCAGTTCCATCCGTGTTAACCCAAATGCCACCATTTAGGTGTGGGTATTTCATCCTTTCTGATGGTTAAGTACTATTCCATTATACAATGGAATATATATATGAACCACATATATATGAACCACAACTTCTTTATCCATTTGTCTGTTGAAGGGCCTCTTGGCTCTTCAATAAATGGTGCTGGGAAAATTAGAAAGCTATATACAGAAGAATGAAACTCGACCATTCTCTTACAACATTCACAAAGATAAACTCAAAATGGATGAAATGTGAGGCAGGAATTCTTGCCCGTTTTCTTAATGGGGTTGTTTCTCTCTGCTGTCCCTCAAGATTCGGTCCTTGCCTCCCTTTCTGACTACTCTGTCCTATTGGACAATCTTGTCTGCTCTCCTCTCCCGTTTCCTTTGGCCAGCATCAGAAACACAAGGACTCCAAAGTCCCGAGAGCAGACCGGAGTATTATGTTGTCTTCTAGAAGCTGTGCATTTTGGCCCTACTGGCCCATTCCACCTGCATTTCAAATTCCACCTGTTCAGAAGTGGTAGGACATTCCATCTGTCCCCAGAGGTTGGCATGGAGTATTGAGAAGTTGGATGTATTGGGGCACTTGGGTCTCATTCTAGATGTGTTGCTAAAGAGCTGTGCAACCTCAGATATCACATAATCCCCAGAATCCCACTGGAGGAAGGATGCTGGTGTTATAGGGTGGGGATTTTTAAGCAGACTGTGAACCCCCTGAATCGCGTGCAGACTTTTATGTTTGTATCCATCCCACTCTTCTTCCCTCCATTCTCTCTACTGAGTCCTCGAGCAGACTTTCTCCCTTGGCTCACCCCGAGAACTGCTGAAAGGCTATGGACGTGGAGCCCCTCTGCCCCAGGGGCAGCCAAAAACCCCCATCCCTTGACCTCTGCTGCTGCACAGATGTTTCCACTTTTTAAGTGGGCTGTGACATGAAGGAGGTTGGAAAGCTATGCTTTAGAGTGCTCTGTGTTCTAACCAGTATTAAGAGCCTGTGACAGGTGTAGCTGGACTGGCAGGCAGGCCTGGTTTATCTTAGCCTGGGGATTGCTTTTAATAAGGACAATGCACTTTCCAAGTTTCTGTAGCTTTACCTTCTGATGATACTGATTTTTCATGCAGGTAATATTGGGTGAAATTCTTGCAAGGGATTATTTCCTTAATTCCTGTTTATTATAAATGGCCCTTTTTGAGTTAAATAAAAAAAAGTACCAGATTATATCTGACTAAATGTTTTAAGGACAGAAAGAATGTTAAGTCATTATAGAGAACTGCTGGAAAAAAAAATACAGGCGTAATGAATAGAACAAGTTTAAAAACATATTATATTGTTGGTTGATTTTTTTCAATACTCAGTAAAAATATCTTTAACATAGTTAACCATTTTATTTTGAAATATTCATTCTTGTCATTGTTTGAGTTATAAGATACGATTTCATTACATGATTGTCAGCAGTATTTGTCAACATAGGTTTTTTTTTTATTTAGGTTAGGAATTTTACTAAGATAACAGCATTTCAGTTTAGTAGACATTAAGTTAAAATGTAAATGTACATATGTTCTTTCCCACATATTATCCAAAGGCTGCAAGCTTGGAGTGGAAGAATAAGGAGAATCAAGATACTGGTTTTAAATTTCTTTTTACATTGTTTCGAAAGTATTATCTTCCTCATTTATTTCCATCATTTACTAAGTTAACAAACATCTACAAACCTGTACTTGGTAAGTACTGATTGGAACGTGTATAGTGGATGTCCACAGGGAAGCTGTCCATTCTCTTTCAAAGTGACTTTTGTTTATTTTAAGTAGAATAGTCCTCTTATTCTTATATTTAATGGTAACTTTATTTTAAGAGGTTTAAAGTTTCCTAATAAATGATTTTACCTATTTGTACAAACTATTTATTTGTACCTCAGGGAGACTGTGGCTCCTGTACTCAGAAATAATTCGGTATGTGTCATGATTTTTTTTGATGTAATTATGTTTAAAGTCTTCTAAGGTTTTTTTTAACTGAAACTCTTCATTGAAGACCATGTTCATTATCTCACACAAGGATGTTAAAGTTTGCATTTCCTTAAGTCTTTTCTTATGGGTGGTGGGGTATGGTGACTACAGACCTTGGCCAATGGGGAGGCAGGCCAGCCCAGGCCATGCAGCTGCCCACAGTAGGCCCTTTCTTTTATCCTGGATCTTTCATCCAACAGGTGCTACGTACAGCTTCTTATGGAGGGGCCAATATTTGGGCAGCTGGGCAACCTAGGGACAATAAGCCTCAGAAAGGAAGGAAACATGAAGGAATTTCTAGTTTGGCTGCTGAAGTTTTTCTTCTATGAAAAATGAAGGCTCATAGGACAGAAGTATCCCTTTGATTGGTGCTGGGGCGGAGAGGCAAATTTTCTTCTCCCTATAGTTTGAAAGCAGGCAAAATTAGTTAAAATGAATAATCAGAAATAATTTTGGAGGGGAAAAGGTCACAGTAGACATTAATCCATCTGGGGAATGTGGACTACTAATCAGTTGTCTTTGGGTGTTTATTTATATACACACACATGTGCACGCTTGGATCAGGGGAAAACAGCAGAAACTTGATGCATTTCAAAAGATGTAGAAGTACTAACCTTTAGAGTTATTGATAGATGTATTTGTTAGTTATCTGTATGTGGGTATTTTTTTCAGAACTAGTTTCTGATTTTGTAAATAGTCTATATTCACTGTGGAAAACGTAGTACACTTTAATATACTGAAAATCAAGTTCTTTGTTGAGAACTTGTCTGCCTCACGCAGGTACCACCAGCTGTATGAAAGTTAGAGAATTGGACATACAGCAAGTTGCAGCTCAAATCCAATACCATGTAATTTTTTGTTTTGATTATGAAATTTAAAGAATGAAAAAGGATTTTCATTTAAAGAATAAAAAAGAATGAAAATGGTGATGTCTAATACTTCAAAGATGAATTCTTTCAGACATAAAGTAGTTGATACTGATTCTATTCTTTGGATTCATCTAAAGGGAAAGGCTTTAAAACTAGTCTCATAGATTTGATTAGTGTAGTATTGGATGTTAAAATACCTAAAATAATTGAAAAGTAATAAAATACCTAAAATGATGAAAAATGTCTATACATGCTTTTAGATATGTTTCAGTCCTAAAATAAAATTAAATTTGTTATAATGTATGTGAAAATATTTTTACATTAGAGTCGCATATTATTACTGAAATTTGTTAGAGAGTTATTAGCTTAGTACTTCCATAGCTGTATGCCATAGCTGTAACAAGCAAGCAGTAACAGTAGCCACTGTCCCATCTTGGTCAGATTGCAAGGCAGAATTAGAAACAAGTCTACCAAAAGATGTCATTTTTAAGAATTTCTGGTACTTTAATTTTAGTTGCTGTTCATACAACCAAATGTGTATCTGCTTTGTTAAAAACTGAGCTGTTTGTGGGGGTTACACTCACTCACCTAATCCAGTATTCTTTTTTCTTTCAGACATCCCTCATTTGAGACCAAAGCCAGTGTACATTACTACAACTCGAGACAATGAAAACATTTACAGTACAAAAATTCCATACATGGCAGCTCGTGTTGTTTTTATTAAATGGATTGTAACTTTCTTTTTGGAAAAGAAGTATCTAACTACAGCCCAAAACACTAAAAATGGAGTTGATGTACTGCCCAAAATCATACAGGTATGCCATTCATCTTCTTATCTTTTACATAGATAAAAATATGCTAACACATAGCAAAGTAATTGACTCTTAGGGTTTTTGGTTCCTCAAGGATGGTGGTTCTAGGGATTGGGTTTATGGGTGGGCTCTCTCTCTATTGCTGAGGTGTCAGGGAGCTCTGAGGTAGCACTTGCTGTGCTCTGTTGACATTGCCATGACAAAGTGATCTTGGGGGCCAGGGAGATGTTCTGAGAAAATAGCTCCTGGACCGTCTGATTTTTCCTCCTTTGCTCAAGTACCAGTGACCTCAGAGCATAAGACCAGGGGCGTGTGTTGCCTTTGCCAATCCCCAGCACCAGGCAGGCCCTCAGGAATCATTTAAGTGGGCTATTGGAAGGACCCATGCAACTCCCAAGTGCCCTTTTGGGATCTCAGGGGGAGGAGTGGAAGAGCATCTCAGAATTTTGGGGTGCCATCATGGAATGCCTGGAAGAAAAGGCTGTCTCTCTCGAAGGCCTTCAGTGAAGACCTCTTTCTTTGTGCGGCCCATGGTGTACCTTCCCTCTCTTCTGGTCCTTGGTCACAGAGAAATGGGCTTTCCTAGCAGATTGAGTTGCTTAGGGACTTTGTGCTGGGTAGAGCAGGACCACTTGAGGAGGTTTGAGAGCAGCTGCTTCATGGCAGGGGCCTGCTTTTATGCACAAAGCATGGTCCCCTTAGAGCAGGTTCGCTGATGCCCTGGAGTTCTAGAAGCGTGACTAGGCCTGAGCTGGAAGAGTGCACATATCTGAGTGGCAGGTAGCATCTTGGTGGAGGAGCACCAAACTGAGGTCCAGAGCATGTGTCCTCATTGATTAAGAACTGACTACAGAGCTGGAGAAATTTATTGTTGAGGACATCTGAGGGGGCTACAGTTCCAGTAAAGAGCACCAAAATACTTACTGAAGATTTTTAAAGGAACCTTTGGGGCGCCTGGGTGACTCGGTTGGTTAAGTGTCTGCCTGAGATCAAGCCCTGCATTGGGGTCCCTGCTCCCTGCTCCCCACAAGGAGTCTGTTTCTCCCTACCCCTCTCCCTCTGCCACTCCCCCTGCTTGTGCTCAGTCTCTTGTTCTCTCTCTGGGTCAAATAAATTTCAAAAATCTTTATAAAAAATAAAAATAAAAGAAAGCTTTAAAAAAACCTTAAATTCATTAGTTTAAAAATGTAATAGGAAAACTGTAAACAGTAATGATCAGTACTGAGAACAAAGTGATTTTCCAAAGGAATATCTCATAATGCTGAGGAAAAATTCAAAGAGCTGGAAATCAGAAATGAATAAATAAAATCTGAGGTCAGGTCCAGACCTATCTTGCAGGTATCATGAGGAAAAAAGGAGAAAAGATCAGAAGTGATAAGTGAACTAATGCAGAATTTACTTGAGCTGAAAGAAAGTCATGCCTTTGATTCACAAGGCCTTCTAGTCCCAGGGAGAATTAGCTGAACAGACACTAACCTAAACATACATAAACCTCTTTGACTTTCAGGGATTAAGAAAAAATTATCAGAATTCCAGATAGAAACTACCAGTTCCTTCTAGAAAATGGGACAGAGTAGCATTGAACATTGAATCTAATATATAACCCTCAGAGCTGAAAGAACTGTCAGTCTGTCTTTCTTTCTCTCTTTCTTAGAACCCTGCTTCCTATCACATATGTAAGCAGATGTCAGATTGATTGAAGTTCTAAATTGATTTAAGGTCTAAATATAAAAACAAAATGATAAAGAATTGAGGAGACAATCTAGAGGAATTGTATAAATTTGGCCATTGGTAGACTACCTGAGGTGGAGATCAGACCCACAAACCCTAGAAGAAATGAGGTGTCACTTTATTTAAAAAAAAGGTTTGTTTATCAAAAGACAAAGTAAAACCACATACGGACAATAGGCTGTGAAAAGCATCTGTAACATCAGAGTTTTTCAAGGAGTTCGTGCCTCTGATATATAGAGAGTGCCTACAAATTGAGAAGACAAGCAGTCCAATTGTAAAACAGACAAAAGGAGAGTAAGGAGAAGTTCATGGAAGAGGAAATAAAAATGACCCTGGATTTCACTATGAGCCAGGGAACACTGTTAGTTCTGGACCATATTGAGAGACCTTTATTTATCCATCAGGTAGACAAAAGTTTGTATGAAATCGTATATAAGAAATGTAGTCACACTCTTTGATAAATTTTAGATTGTATCTTGTGTGATTACTAAATCAATTCAAAACAGTCTGTTTAAAGGCTGTGACTGCTGCCTACCTGGTTTCAAAATTTCAGAAAACCATCAATGTATTTAGTGAGTAAGTTTCTCATTTTTTGAAAAATACAGTTGGATGATGAAAAGTAGCAAGAATAGCAGATTAACCACGGATTCAAGGTTCTAGCATATTTTTTTTTCCTTAGCTGGAAAGGAGACTTCTCACACTTGTGAGTCATCTAGTTTTATTATCTAGCTTTCTTAGTGTCCATAAAGGTCTAACCTCCTGAATCAGTTTGGATGGTTGTCTCATCCTAACAGAAAAAGACTCCATAACTCAAACTGTCTTAAAAGATAAAAAAGAAATATTTCAATCTCATGAAGAAGCAGCTCATGGCACGACTGGCAGAGAATGTAGTTAATTCACACTGTCTCCATGATTCTCTCTAGTTTTCCCTACTCTCCCCTTTCCCTCTGGCAGATTTGTCTTCCACTCCCTGCTTACTGTAAGATGGCTGCCAACAGCAGGGGCATGGCCTTCCTTGTTCATGTTCAGAGACAACTCAGATACTTCTGTAAAGCCCTTCCCATTTGTGTGAGTAGAACAACTTAGGTTACCTGTCTCTCCTAGAACAGTAACAAGGCACTGACTCTCATACAGTTGGCTATGTGAATGGCCTAGAAGGGACATGACTGGCTTCCATGACAGAGCCCTTCCCTGGTACTGTGGATGGGGCCAGCTTCCCATGACCTGGGCTGCAGGGGAGGAGGCACACAGAGCACTGGGGTTCTATCAGGGATGGGGAATGGGTGCTGGCAGTCAACTATCCAGGTCCAGTGCTACCACACCCTGCAGAGAGCCGAACATAGAAATGGTCACTCCCATTGTACAGACTCTCAATATGTCTCACAGTGAGTTGTTCTACTGGTTTTCTAGTGCCACTGTAGCAAATGACAAACTTTCAGTGGCTTTAAACAACACAAATTGATTATATTGCAGTTCTGGAGCTCAGAAGTTCAAAATCAGTCTCGGTGTGGTAAAATCAGGATGTTGGCAGGTGTGTGTTCCTTCTGGAGGAACACATTCTGCAGTCAAATGCTCCGCCACTGAGCTATACCCCCTGGAGGAACACGTTCTGGAGAATCCATTTTTTTGCCTTGTCCTGCTTCTAGAGCTGCCTGCATTCCCCGGCTTGTGGCCCTTCATTACATCACCTTTTATCCCTTTGTTTCCTTCTTCACATTGCCTTCTGTTTCTGATCCTCCTGTCTCCTTATGGATCCTCATGATTACATTGGGACCACCCAGATAATTCAGGATAATCTCTCCCCCCTCACACCTTAATTTAATCATGCTTGCTAAATCCTATTTGCCAGGTAAGGTAAGGTACTCAAAGCTTCTGGGGATTAGGGTATGGACATCTTTGGGGGAGTCACTATTCAGCTGATGAGTTGCCTCCTGCATTCCCTTCTGTGCCTCACACCTCATCTCACATGTGTCTGCTGTGTTCCTCTCTTCATCTGCATTGCGAATGAGAAATGCAGCAATTTAAACCATTGAATATTAGATTTTGGAGACAGTTGCAGGAATAAAAGCACATATAATTTCATTTGTGTCCTAAAAGTTTTTGTTTGGAATTTCAAATTTAATCTAATTTTGCCTAGGTAAAGTAATATGACTCCATCAGTTGATCCAAAATCTCTTTTCACAGAATATACTGCTGTTGTAAAAGCCCTTCAAAACAGTATTTTAAGTGCTGTTTCCAAATAGAGTTTACACTTTTGCCCTTATCACTGTATTGAATATCATGTTTGAGAGCTTTTTTGTGTGTTTTTTTGCAAAGTGGATTTGCCTCTGGATCTAAAACGAATGCCTTTAACAGTATTTTTTCACCAGGAAGGAGAGGAATTAGTGTATCTTCTAGACTAAGTTTTCTTACCACTTGAAGAATCTGGTAGAACAAATATCCATGGGAGAACGAAAAGACAGTAGCTCTTATACCCCGTATACTGTGTTGACAACAACAGCATAAGCCTGACCAAAGCTGTACATCTTGGTGCATCATTTTAGCTGAAAATGTGTTCAGCGAAGTATGATTTAATCCTTAGTAATTCATATTTGTATGAGATAAAAGTACTTCAACATACATTAGAGAAAAGAAAGTGTTGATGTTAAAATTTAAGTAGTTGCCATTTTTTACCTGTTCTGTAAACACATTAATTGACATTAAAACCCATAAAAGCCCATTTGGGAATGGAAAAGAAAGTTTGAGGTGGTATCAGCTTTTTTGAATGATACCGTATTTATTTGTATGATAATCCTTAGTTACACTTTGACTGAGTCTGAATGTGCCCTTTAATAATGATCCACGGGCTGTGGGTTTCCTGAAATTGTATTTCATGGGGTGAACAGTTAGAAAAAGTGAATCCCACAAATTGACAACCCTAGAGGAGTTTCTATGTTGCACAAATACATTTGTTTGTTGACTACCACTCCAGTACTTTCTGTGTCTAGAGCTCTACCCAGGCGGTGCAGGCTGCCCCCAGCTGTGTTGGAGAATCATGACAGGTCATTCAGTAGCCTCAGGCATCCCCACCAGAATGGTGTTTGCATCCTCTCATTTCCCACCTAGTTTGTGGTGCCCCCTTTAGCTTGACCCTGACAGTGGACAGGTCTCAGTATGAGCTGTCAGTGAGAAGAAACCAGATGTTGGGGAGGGTTGATGGGAAGGGTTAAGTGTCAGCTTGTATCATGCAATTTCCTGCACCCTGGCAGTGCAGGCCTGGGCCAAGCTGGTATGTCTCTTTCACTGACCAAGGCTTCCTCATGTGCCCAAGAAGTGAAAACCAATTTTTGAGTTTGCCACCAGAATCACCTAATACTAAATAATAGTTGAGAATTCCAGCTTGATTGTAGTGGGTGGAAATGGACCATTCTCTGTGCTTAATTCTTACATATGCTTTTACTGTTCATTTTCATGAAAGAGAAAGATATGAGGAAATTTGGATTATCAGTTTGTTTTCACTAATCACTCACTACAGACATAAACACCTGTCAAAACATACAGATGTTTTTGGAAAGTAGCCTTTTACAGAGGGAGTAGGGACTAAGGCTAAGGAAAGCATTGTTCTATCAAGAGAAGTTGTTTTCCATTTATGGCATGATGGGAAATCCGTCTCATGTGATCTATTTGGATAACAGAGCTCACTTTTAATTTTTTTAAACTTACTTTGATTTTTAAATTGAAGTATAGTTGACACACAATGTTCTAGTAGTCTCAGATATACAACATAGGATTTGACAAGTCTGTATGTTATGCTGTGCTCACTGTACTGTACCATCAACTATATTCCCTATTCTGTGCCTTTCATCCCACAACTTACTAATTTCATAACTGGAAGCCTATATCTCCCACTGTGTTTCACACATTTTGGCTGTCCACCCACTGCCTCCTCTTTGGCAACCACCAGTTTGTTCTCTGTATTTATGGGTCTGTTTTTGTTTTTCTGTATGTTCAGAGCACTTTTTAAAAGAATTTGGTGCCTTTAAATATATTTCTTTATTTACATTCTTTTAGCTACCTAATTGCCATGTTACCCAATTAGTTATCAAATGACTTCAAAACTTGGTGGTTTAAAACAACAGCCCTTGGGCGCCTGGGTGGCTCAGTGGGTTAAAGCCTCTGCCTTCGGCTCAGGTCACGATCCCAGGGTCCTAGGATCAAGCACTGCATCGGGCTCTCTGCTCCACGGAGGGCCTGCTTCCTCCTCTCTCTCTGCCTGCCTCTTTGCCTACTTGTGATCTCTGTCTGTCAAATAAATAAATAAAATCTTTAAAAAAAAAACCCTTTTGTCATATTTCATATACCTTTTGGGTAAAAAATTTGGGCAGGATCCTGTGGGGCAATTCTTGTGCTTAATAGGGCATTAACTGAGGTCAGTGGGTGGTGGCCTTCAGCTGGCAGCCGGTTAGTCTAGAGGGTTCAGGATGGCTGTATGCACATGCCTGTTACTTTGATGGGTGTAGTTGGAAGGTGAGGCTTAGCTGGGCCTCACACTTCCATGCAGTCTCTGTAACAGGGTTGTTGGACTTCTTTCCTGGCCAGTCAGAGCTCCGATAGCAAATGTTCCAAGAGATAGGAAGTGGTAACTATCAGTCTTTTGTACCTGGGACTGAAACTGGCACAGATCTCTTCTACCCTATTCCACTGGTTAACATAGTCACAGAGCCCTTGTGAATCAAAGGGAAGGGGGAGTCATGGAATTTGTGATCATTTTTTTAAATTTGCTGCATATGTACATATGTACCTTTTTTTTTGGCCTGTGGGGAAAATGGAAGTTATTGATCCAAGACTCACAGGTTATTGAGCCATAAAAGAGACATTAGATTTAATCCAACCTCCATACTTTACAGATTAAAAAAAAAATGTATATACACTTATGCATATGTATCAGTTACTATATAGATACACATATATGTATCAGAAAAAATGAGTAAAATTTTATTTTTCTGCAGAAGATAGTTGACACATCAAAAGGATGAAATTTTTTTTAAAAATAATTTCTATAAGACAGCTCATCTCACAGTATCACAGTACCTTTGATAAGCGACACAGACTTAATAGCTAAGGCATGAAGAGAAAAATTATTATTATTTTTTATTTTTTTTAAGATTTTTATTTATTTATTTAACAGAGAGAGATCACAAGCAGGCTGAGAGGCAGGCAGAGAGAGAGGAAGATCCCAGGACCCCGGGATCATGACCCGAGCCGAAGGCAGAGGCTCAACCCACTGAGCCACCCAGGCGCCCCGAAGAGAAAAATTATTATAAACATAATCTTCCATTAATTTTCTCCAAAATAGATTGCTATTTGGATATCTGCTTTCAAACTGTCCTTGGTAATTACTGAAATAACTATTTTGTATTATTCATATCTTATCATTCGTTGTAAAAAATACTCACAGTAGGTAGAATTTTAGTGATATTTGAGTTATACATTTTTGACACTTAAAAAATAATAGTGAAATTTATAAAAATGAAGCAAAATGATACATGTATTGTAATTGGAGGAAACCTTTAGTTCTATGCGGAGATGAGAGCAGAAATCCACCTTAAATATGTGAGCATGAATTATTTTATTTCTTTGTGCTCTTAAAACCTTCTAAAATTTTAAAATTTTGTAAATATATCAGTTAAGTTCAATCTGAGATTCTGAATATGAAATTCAGATCAAGATTCTTCTCATAAAATACCCTCCAAAGATTTTGACACTCCTCCGTTAAGTGTCACTTAGACTCATGAGTCAAATGATGCTTTCCAATATTGTGGCTCAAAAAAATCTACTGAACTTTCAAATCTCTGTGACCATAGAGTGAGTGCTGAATTTAGAAACCAAAGGTGATCATAGTATAAATTCACTGACACAATTTTTTCTATGGTTTTGCAAATATAAGTTAAAGTATTTTGGTTGGGAAAATTTCACAGCCTCCCTCCCTGCAATAATCTAGTGTTTTTCCTGTTAAAATAACTGAGTTGGGGAGAGGTTAGCTGGTGAATTGGGAAATTGGTGAGTATGGTTCCTGGAGCCTATTGTGCTTTGAGCAGTGCTGGTGTCTAGCTTGCCTTCAAGTTGATGGTAACCAAAGTCCTTTAAAATTAAACAAGTCTTCAGTTTCACCGGGTATTCTTTAATGTCAAAGAGGCCCACTCAGAAGTGGTAATGGCTTTCTTCCAGACTGTTGGTGGTGGTGTGGGGCAAGAGAGGGTGCCGGAGCTGGATGGTGGCTGTCCCACAGAGCAAGACAAAAACCATTCCAACAGCAGCACCTTGTCAGACCGAAGACTCAGCAACTCCAGCCTTTGTAGCATTGAAGAAGAGCACCGAACTGTGTATGAAATGGTGCAGCGGATTCTCTTGTCAACTCGAGGTTATGTCAACTTTGTGAACGAAGTCTTTCGTCAGGTTAGTGTGTGTGTGTGTGTGTGTGTGTTTGTGTTGTGAGTTCATGAAATTGAAGAGGGTTTTGTTCTTTTTTTCTTTATGTTCAATTAGCCACTATATATTACATCATTAGTTTTTGATGTAGTGTTCAGTAATTCATTAGGTATAATACCCAGTGCTCATCACAACACGTGCCCTCCTTAATACTCATCGCCCTGTTACCCCCTTTCCCCAAACCCCTTCCCTCTAAAACCATCAATTTTGTTCTTGTTCTTTTGCTCACAGTACTGCAAGAAATACTGTTGATGAGTTGGGCTACATTATGGGACTGAATCATGATTCCTCTAATCCTGCTTTTAATTTGTCATATGGAGTGTTGCAATTTTGTTTATGATTCTTTAAGGTTTTGTTTTTATAAAATTCCCACATATAGAGGGTAAATTCTATATATGAGCAAATAATCCCCAAAATACCCTCTTGTGTCCATAAGAAAGTGGAAACCCAGAGGTAGGTGGGAAAAAAGCACTTCCTGGATACTCATCAACAATTGAGCATGGCAAAGCGGAGCCCCAGGCTGGTGGTGTCCCGAAGGCCCAAGGGAGCTCTAGAGAGGCTCTGCAGATGGTTGTACTTTCTCTGCAAACACACATGGCATGCGTATATGATAGAAGTATTTATGACATAAGAGGAAAAAGAGAACAAGGGGAAAGCAAGGGCTGACGCTGATATAGCACCCTGATGGGACACTGTGGTGAGTGGGGAAGTGCAAACAAGAAAGTGGGTGCAAGTGAGGAAGAAGATCGCAGAGATAGATCAGAGGCTGTACAACACTTAGCAGCCCTGAGCGACAGCTTGGGCTGGCTTCACCCCCCAGGGGACATTGGGCATTGTCTGGAGACACCTTTGGTTGTCACAACTGGGGAGATGGCAGTGCTACTGGCATCTAGTGAGTAATACCCAGTGATTATCCTACAGACACAGGACAGGGGCTCCACTGTGTCATGACAGAGAACATCAGGCCCCAAATGTCAGTAGTGCTGCTGTGGAGAAACTCTGACAAAGGAAGCAGAACCTGCGGTACAGCAAAGACAGCAGCTCTGTGGTGTGGAGTGGAGCCACTGGTCACCTCATCTTGGTACTGGTGCCCAGGGGGACAGAGCCTGGCTCCTTTGTGGGAGTGTGCATGTAATGGGGAATAGCTGTTGAGTCTGGGCACCCGCACAGAGGGTGAGGCCCCTGAATGGCAGGAAGCCGTGGTTGCTGGGGAGAAGGGGAGGAGCCCTGTGCATAGGAAGGGTGCACGGGCACCATGAAGAGTTTTTTTGTGGAGGGGGAAGACTTCTAGATACTGATTAACCCTTTCACTTCTGAGACTGTCATTAAGGAAAAATCAACCAAGAATGAAAGTCCCAGTATAATCCATAGCAATCTGGAGGTTATACCATATTTTGTATTTTATTGAATAAAAATGTTTGACTTAAGAAAATATTAGTTTGGGGTACCTGGGTGGCTCAGTGGGTTAAGCCTCTGCCTTCGGCTCAGGTCATGATCTCAGGTTCCTGGGATCGAGCCCTACATCGGGCTCTCTGCTCCGCAGAGAGACTGCTTCCCCCTCTCTCTCTGCCTGCCTCTCTGCCTACTTCTGATCTCTCTGTCAAATAAATAAACAAAAATCTTTAAGAAAAAAAAATTTAGTTAAGCTTCAGTGAAAATTCCCTCATAAAATATTTTTCTGCTTCTAGGCCTCAGCACTGCCTTGGTTCTTCTTACTCCCTAACTGTGTCTTCTCTGTCTTATTTCTTAGGCCCTTTTTTATTTGACCCCAGATTCCGAGAGTTGACCAAGTTCTGGGCTTGAGCCTCTTCTTCTGTAACGCCACACTTGCCTGCTTAGGGCCTTCATCTATTTGTGTAGAGCCATCAGCCATGTGGCATGAGACTCCCAGTCAAGCCTTTTGTCTGGACCTTGCTTCTTGTTTCCACACTTGCCTTTTGAAATGCCAACTGGTGATCTTGTCTGACATTCTAGTGGTGTCTTACTGATAATGAAGCCAGAGCTTAGCTTATTTTCTTCCCTAACAACAGCTTCTAACAACCACTTCTTTAACAGGACTTGTGTTCTTGTGTGCTTGTTAGTTTTAGCCTTCCTGTTATCCTTGTCTCCTGCTCCTCCTCTGAGCCATCACTGAGCAAGATATGCAGGGGACTTTCTCACTCCCGCTCCTTCCTTTTCCTTTGACCATGGTTAGCAGCATGCTCCCTGGAGCCCTACACCTGCTATGTCATCACTTTCTAACCTGTACTGTTTACGTCATGCTGCCAAAACATTCTTTTATCATAATAATGCATGATTTAAAAATCTACCCTATTCTCCCCATTAATGTTTCCCTGTTGTGTTCCTGTTGTATGCACCGGAAGGTACTTGGTAACCATTTAATTTGAGTTGAAATCATCAAGGTCCTAGAGAGCATATAATTGAGAATAGAGGTCATATATTTTATAAAGAACCAGATATTTCAGATATTTCAGGCTTTGTTGATCACGTGGGCTCTGTTGCAGCTCTTCAGCTCTGCTTTCGTAATGAGAAAGGAGCTCTGGATAGCACATAACAAAAAAACTTGGCTGTGTTCCTGAAGAACTTTATGGAAGTCACTTGGCAGGCTGGATTTGGATGACAGGCCAGAGTTTGCAGACCCTGATCTGTAGCAGCGTTTTAAGCTCTTGGATTCCAGTGCTTACTATAAGACTAGATGTGATTGACAAAGCTTGTAAATTTTGCACCCGAGATACATGCTAATGTGGTTTTACTTTCATTGTATAAATTGCTAATTTATCATACGGACAGTTTTGTCTTCATCCATTATTGGCAAGAATGTGCTCTAAATTCTGTGTTCTACTTAGTCCTAACTCCAGTCTAAATTCAGTACTGAAGTAGCTTGGGCCACAGACGTTAACTGCAGACTACTTACTACCAAAGGACTGAGACATCTTTGTGCTGTGAAGCAAAAAACATTTTATGCAAAGTAGAGATACTTGAAGGGGCATGGGTTTTAACATTGTATTCTATTGCCCTCTTGTGGTCAGTGATGAATTTTTCTTTCTGGGTGGCATAATGTAATTTCTTTCCAATTTTAAAGTATACAGAGACTATTTAATATTTTAGGCCTAAAGGCCATTAAAGTTTAAAATGTACATTCAGGAAGCACATGTTCTCCGTGGGGAGGTAAGATTGTGTGTATGCACCAGAGAACAGTGCATGATGGCAGAGGATCAGATGTCGACTGTGTGAACATGAAAATAAATGCTGACGAGGGACCCCGGGGCAAAGAGGCTCGTGGCAGGGGCTAATTGTGCAAGTCTTCTAGGACTGCATGGTTTAGTGGGTTGCAGGCAATGGAAATAGATGGTAGCTGAAGGGAGACAAAGTTCAGTGGCGCTCAGGGCAGCCTCAGTTTACTGCTGCCCCCCAGCAGGCAGGCTAGCAGTGAGTGGTAGAGGCTTCAGGTGGCCGGTTCTGGTCTTGGAGTCACTCTGCTGCAAACTTGTCTTCTTGCCAGTGTTTTTTGGACTACTTGTTGTAACCATTTGTAGGTCATAAAATTAACTTATCAAAAGCCAGTATTTTGAGGTGCATGGGTGACTCAGGTGGTTAAGCATCTGCCTTCGGCTCACGTTGTGATCCCAGGTTCTGGGATCAAGCCCCATGTTGGGCTCTCTGCTCAGCAAGGAGTCTGCTTCTCCCTCACCCTCTCCCCTTGCTTGTACTCTCTCAAATGAATAAATAAATAAAATATTTTTTTTTAAAGGGCCAGTAATTTTTTTTAAATAATGAAGCAGAATAAAATAGACTAAAACATTTCAGAGTGCACTGCATGTTCTAAGGATTAGTATTTCTTTGTGAAACTTTTAAAACAACATCTATTTATGTATATACTGTATATAAATGCATATATGCTTCTCTAACATATCTTCCTTAGTTCTGAATCTGGAAAGTTCCAAGTACTGCTGTACAGGTTATTTGTTGTTCTGTTTATTGTTGGTTTTGTTTTAAAGAATATTTTATTTTTAAAAAAGTAAATGTTCATTAGATAAACAGTCTTAAGCAAATCACTCAAATCACTCAAAATACTACCATTAAGCAAGCAGTGTTCATGTTAAAAGAGAATCATTCCAGGTATTTCTATACGTTTATATTTGCCTTCTGGCCTGGCTAGCTAGATAAGCAGATAAGAGCCTGGCAGTGAGGAGGTGGGTAAGGCAGGATATAAACAGAGAGCAGCCTAGCAGACAGACGGGAAGGCTAACAGATGAGCTGATACATAAATAAACTGGCAGGCAGGTATAGAAGATCAGACAGGTGATGTAGATGGGCCAGCTGGCAGAGGTGGAAGTGAGCAGGGAGGTGTAGATGAACAGGTACGTAGGTACAGACAGAGAATTTGGCAGGCAGTTAAAGATGGACAGGCAGCCAGCCAGCCATGGACGGGTGAAGGTAAAACCAGATAGAGGTTGACTGAGGTGAAGGCAGAGGCAAGGCGAGGGTATGTGGAAGTGCCGGAGTAGGGGTGAGGGACTGACAGACCACGTTATGACAATGGAATCTTTAATTCTTAATAATTTTTTCATGCATTTTTAATGAAGAGGTCTGAGTTTCATTTTATTTGAGTTTAAAAGAAAATAAAGAGAAACAGAGTTGTGGAAATTCAAATAAACATTCCTTTACCACAAGAAATATTAATTACTAAAATATTTCTCTATAATGAGAAAATTAAACTCACATTAAGGTGGTGGAATCAGTTTTTGTCCCCATGGTATAATTTTAGATAGCACTTATTTGATTTCTTAAGAAATCGGAAGAAATTATCAATCTTGTATTTCCTTCAGCCTCCTCTCCCCATCCACTTATTTCATTATGTTATAAATTGATAGCCAAATTTGCCATTATTTGCAGTCAGTTTGGAATCCTAATGTGCAGAGTTGTTTAGTCTTGGTTCTGAATTTAGGTAGACTCTTTCCTTTTGGTGTCCTCAGTCCTAACATGCTTGCTTTGATTCACTTCTTGGATGGCCTCGTTTTGTCATCAAGTGGGTGTTTTCAAGAAGATGTCTTGAGGCTCTAGTCCCTGAGTCCTTTTGTGATGAGGAATGTTTTCCTTTTGCCTTTCCACATGAACAGCAGTTTAGGTGGGTATAATAATTTCAGGTCACCCTTTCTTCCAATTAGGAATTTGTAAGTCAAAACTTTTCTAAAGTTTTCAGTATGAGTACTTTCAACATTTTTAAAGTAATAGAAGACAAGCTTGGAAATGTTTCCAGGAAACAAGAAATTGTAACAAATGACTAAGCAGATTTGAATAATAAGAAAATAGAACTTCTAGAAATGAAAAAATGTAATAATTGAAATAGTAAAGGAAAACCTTAGTAAGTTTAATAGCAGGTTAGGTACAGCTGAGGACAGAATAAACAGAATGACAGATCTGAAGAAGTTATCTTGAGTGTCCCTCAGAGAGACATAGATGAAAAATACAAGAGGTTGAGATGTGGAGAATATGGTGAGAAGGTAGGAAGCATGTGTTCCACTCTCCTCTGTCCTTACTATTTTTTATCTGCTATTCTGCAAGTTACTGAGAATATCCTACTATGATTGCGGATTGGTCTTTTTTTTTTTTTTCAAAGGCTCTCAGTATTTTTTATACACACACACACACACACACACACACGCTCATATATATGTATATATTTGAAGCAACATTATTAGTTTCAGTTATAGATTCCCAAATGTATGTTCCTTTGAATCTTTCATCAGTAAGAATTTTTCCTCTTTATCTCTAGTAATTTTTTTGGCGGGGGGGACCCTCAAAGTCAGTCTTGCCTATTCTTAATATAGCCCTACCAGTTTTCTTTTTGTTAGTGTTTCCATGGTGTATCTCTTTCTGTATTACTTTCAATTTCTTTTCTCCATATCTATGTTTTGGATGTCCTCTTACAAATGGCACATAGTCTTTTTAATAGTTTTTAAAATCGTACTTAATAATTTCTATCTTTTGATGGAGCATTATTCCCTTTACAGTTGACATAACAACTACTCTATGTTTAAGTTCACTATCTTACTTTCTGATTTCTAATTGTATTGAATTCTGTCAGACTTGTTGTTTTTAGTATCCCATTTTTCTCCTCTAGCTTAGTATTTTTATACTCATTTGTAATATTTTAATTGTTAACATCCCTAACTTAAAATCTAGCATTAATTTTAACTTTTACCCTGTGAGTATGCACTCCAGTTCCATTTATTCATTCTCAGTTCCTATGCCCCTGCTATGTACAGTTTTGTCTTGACTTACAATGCAGTTGTGTGCTGATAAAACCATCATAAGTTGAAAATACCATAAGTCAAAAATGCATTTAATACACCTAACCTACCGGGGCGCCTGGGTGGCTCAGTGGGTTAAAGCCTCTGCCTTCGGCTCGGGTCATGATCCCAGGGTCCTGGGATCGAGCCCCGCATCGGGCTCTCTGTGCTCAGCAGGGAGCCTGCTTCCCCCTTCCTCTCTGCCTGCCTCTCTGCCTACTTGTGATCTCTGTCTGTCAAACAAATAAATAAAATCTTAAAAAAAAAAAATACACCTAACCTACCAAACATGATAGCTTAGCCTCACCTACTCTGAACATGCTCAGAACACTTACTCTAGCCTGCAAGTTGGGCAAAATCATCTAACACAAAGCCTCGCTTATAATAAGTGTTAAATATCTCATGTAATTTATTAGATACTGTACTGGAAGTGAAAAACAGTATGGTTATGTCGGTACAAAATGGTTGTAAGTTTATCAGTTATTTATCCTTATGATCCCAGGGCTGACTGGGACCTGTAGCCACTGTCACCGCCTAGCACCACAAGAGAGTGTCATACTACATATCCCTAACCCAGGAAAAATCATAATTCAAAGTACAGTTTCTGCTGAATGTACATTACTCTCACACTGTCCTAAAGTTGAAAACTTCTAAGTTGGACCATCGTAAGCTGAGGACCACCTGTATTTGAATTCCATTATGAATATATATATATGTAAATATATTTCTTTCATAACTGTTATTTTACACAGTTTTATTCATATATATACATTTTATTCATTTAGATTTATCCAAATAATTACCCTTTTATTGCATTTTCATCTCTTCCTGAATCTCTGATCCAGGATTATTTTTCTTCTGCCCAAAGAATCACTTTTAGTATTTCCCTTAAGTCAGATCTCCTGGTAAAAGTTTTTCTCATTTCTGTGTCTGAAAATTTCTCTATTTTGCTTTTGTTTTTGTAGAGCAGTTTTTCTGGATACTGAATTCTACGTGGGCAACTGTGTTCTCTTTGTACATTGAATATTTGTTGCATTGTTTCTTTGAGAAGTCATGTGAGGTCATGTGGTTGCCCTTTGGAGGAAATGTCTCTTTTTTCCTCTGGAACTTATAAGATTTTCTGATTGTTTTTGGTTTTCACCTGTTTTACGGTAATGTACTCTGTATTTACCCTGTTTGTGTTTGTGATTCTTGAATATGTGGATTGACATCTTTACCAATTTTGACCAAGTTCTCAGCCATTCTCTCCTCAAATATCATTTCTGTCCCCTTTTGCTAATCTTTCCTTGTGCATCTTCAGCCATGTATAGGATCAGCTTTTCATTGTCTTCTCTCTCACCTTCCCTTCTGAGTTAGCCATCCTTTCATCTCGCCATGCTTCATTCTGGGTGTGTCCTTTGGATTTTTCATCAGTTTTCAGTCATGTCCATTCTGTTGTCAACCCATACACACTGAGTTTTTAATTTTGGTTATTTTATTTTTCAATTCCATTTATATTTCTTTTTGAAACTTTATTTATCCTGATTTCCTATATGTTTAAAATATTGTCTGGTTTTTATTGTGGTTTTGTTAGTATTGACTTCTTTTCTCATATTTCTGATTTTTAATTAATATAACACGTTAACCAGACAGTGTGTACAAATAATTTGGGTTTTACTGTGATTTTATTCACCTACAGAGGATATTTCTATTTGCTTCCTGGGAGGAGGATAACATGATATACCTTGATTTGGGATTTGGATTACTTCACTGTCTCTATATATTTTTCAAAACTCATCACATGGTCCACTTAGGATTTATGCATTTCATTATTTATAAATTTTATGTAAAGTACCATAAGAAATTTTGAACTCTAACCAGTGATATGCGTGTTGAAATATTTAGGGGTGAAATGTACTGATGTCTGCAGATTTCTTTGAAATGCATCAAAAATAAAATAGATTGAAAGAAGGATAAATAGGGGCAAATCTAGCAAATGCTAATGATAGAATCTAGGCAGCAGTATATGGGAACTCACTTTAAAATATTTCTACTTTTTTGTATGTGTAAAAATATTTGTAATAAAATTTGGAACAAAATTAGGGTGGGACACCGTTGTACTTTGTCATATTCTTTGTTGATCTTTCTTGAGACGTAAGTCAGAATATTTGTTATATTGATAGGCTCCTCTGTTCTGGAATTTGACATGACATTGATGAAAATTTATATATTGCATGAACCCTTGTTACACTGAAATCTGCCTGTAATTGGATTCTGTGGCATGAACATTAAAGACAGTATTAAATCCTGAATCTTGAAATCTCAAGACCTAGAATCATTTCTAACTTACTTTGTAATCTTGGAAAAATATCTCAGGTGTTCTGAACCTCAGCTTAATTCCTCATCTGTGGAATGAATGAAAGCATTTCCTATAATATTGAGTTCATCTCCTTTGTGTTTACCCCTCAGACAGAAATATTCCTTAGAGCTGATACTGAAAAGGCAAATACATTTCTCTTTTACCTTTTGGTTTATATTTTTAGAATCTTACATTAAATTAGATTTCTTACATGCATATGTATAAAGAGATTGTTTAATGTTAAAAAGTTCATGGGGTGCCTGTGTGGCTCAATCAGCTAAAGTCTGACTCTTGGCTTTGGCTCAGGAAGTGATCTCAGCATCATGGGATTGAGCCCTGCATTGGGCTCTGCACTCCTGCTGGAGTCTGCTTGCCCTTTCCCTCACCCTCTGCCCCCTCCCCTGCTATGCACATGCGCGGCGCTCTCTCTCTCTCTCTCTCAAATACATCTGAAAAACCTTTAAAAAAAATTAAAAAGTCACCTAAATGTGTACAATGCTACAATTGGCCAGGAGCTCTCTTTAATATATTTTCTGAGAGCCAACATTCACCAGCATACCAATGAGTACAGAACACCTGAGTACAGTCTTTACTCACTGGGATGCTGATGAAAGTCAGGTCTCCAAAAGGGAAGGGAAGGTGGAAGGGAGGGAGGAATAAAGAAGGAAGAAAGAGAAAGACAAAGAAAGGGGAAGAGAGAAAAAAAGAAAGGAAAAGCTCCAAATTACTAGCATTTTCCATCTTCTTTGGTATAAATATTCCCTCCATCACCATCACGACATCCTTGAACATGGAGTTAGGCAGAGGTGTGACAGTTGACTTGAGCTGGCCACAGTAGCATGTCTCTTGTCTTATAATCAATTTCTAATTCATTGGGAAAGTTTCCCAGTTGTATAACTGTTGTTTATATAGCCAATTGAAGAATTTGTGTAGGTGTGCATGTTGGCTATTTTTGTGAAAAAATTACTCAGAATACAGAAGTTATTTTTAAATTGCATGACATTTTCTGGCCTAAATGAAAATGACTTTTTTCCTCAGCAAGTTTGGTGTGCCCTGTGTTTCAGAGGAAAGTCTGAAATCGGTAATGGGGATTGGAAATGTCTGTTATGTTTCTTGTCTGTTACAGTGATCTGAGCAGGTGTGGAGTTAAAAGGAGTCTTCCCTTTTTATTCTAGGCATTTTTATTGCCTTCGAGTGATATCGCTGTAACAAGGAAGGTAGTTCAAGTGTACAGGAAGTGGATCCTCCAGGACAAACCTGTGTTCATGGAAGAACCAGATAAAAAAGAAGCTGCCCAAGAAGATGCCGAAAAATTAGGATTCTCAGAGACTGACAGCAAAGAGGTAATATGTTATCACTTCTTGTTTCTGTTGGGAACTACACATATTTTAGCAAAGTATACCTGGTCAGGAAGGGTGCCAATCAGTGGGGCATAGGCTGGTGGCACTCTTTTATCATAGCTGATGCTCTCAAGTTGCTGAGTTTGGTGAGGACCTGCTTTAGTGAGGCTGCTTCTGGCTCTATTCAGGATCATTGGTCACTTCCTAACCCTCAGGCTAGGTCCGAGTGTGTGTGGCAGCTTCCTTATTCACTGTTGCACAAGAGTTGCTTTATAAACCATTGTGTTTTACACGTCTCTGTGTGAGATTAAAAATGTCACTGCTGGGGCGCCTGGGTGGCTCAGTTGATTAAGCGTCTGCCTTTGGCTCAAGTCATGATCCCAGGGTCCTGGGATCGAGCCCTGCATCGGAATCCCTGCTCCATGAGGAGCCTGCTTCTCCATCTCCCTGTGTCTGCTGCTCTGCCTACTTGTGCTCTCTATCTCTCTGTCGAATAAATAAAATAAAATCTTAAAAAAAAAAAGTCACTGCTTTACTGGTATTGACGTATTTAAATAAATAGCATCTGAGAATCTAAATTTAGAATGTTTTGGTAGTCTTGTCTTGTGCAGTGGCCTATTCCAGAGCACTTGAAAAGACTAACCCCAAAACGAGCACTGTCTCCTCCATTAAGAAGCCTCACTGCAGGGCTGGGCGCTGTCCTCAGAGTGAGTGCTGTTGGAATGGAATTTTTAGTCCTGGGTAGGAAAAGCTAGAGGCTGGATAAATCTAAAATTACACAGTGGGACCTCTTCCTGAAAGAAAAGATATCTGTCATATTTTTATTTCTGGCATGCTGTTTTGAAATCTAGTCTGAGAAATTATTTCTAAAAGTTTGTTGCAGCAATTAACAACAAACATTTAAAACTATTAGTATTCAAGTCATATCACTTCTAAGTATCTGTATTAATGCCATAATTTTCATTTTTAAATTTTGGTAAAATCATTTTAATAACTGGTCATGATGTCAAAATGAATAGATAAGCAAATGGAATTTATCACACATCTTAGAGTTCAGTGATAGAGACTCATTCACTCATTGGACCTTTGTTCATTTCTTCAGCACATACTAAACACTAGGCACTGTTTTAGGTGCTAGAGGTGGTGAACAAAATGGAAAAAAGACTCACCCTCCTAAAACCTATATTCTCTTGAATTTTGGTGAGTGTAAGAAGTTAAGTATGTGAACATGGTACTTCTTCCCCTCCATTAACTGGTTTTTAATCTTCTAAAGACCTCATCTGAAGGTTCTCGTCATAAGCGATCTTCCAGTTGGGGACGAACATACTCCTTCACGAGTGCAGTGAGCAGAGGATGTGTGACAGAAGAAGAAAATAAGAACGTGAAAGCTGGGGCCCAAGCTATGCTGCAGGTACATGGCCAGCCAGAGACATAAAGACCTCTAGCTGGAGTCAGTTTGAACATTTTGTTTATTATGATAGCATCATTAAAGTATGATGATATTTATATCTCCCTGTCGGTAAACAGCTCTTAAGTTCTCATTCTGAGTTTTCTTCCTGACTGCTCACCTTTAATTTGTAGATTTTTTTTCCTAATCAAAAGAGACCTATGAGCTGGTTGCAGGTTTTTCCAGAGGGATTATTATGCAGTGAATGTAAAATGACTGAGATCCAAATCTTAAAAAGTATTTTCTGAACACATATGGAGTGTTGTCAGTCACCTGGACTCTAATTTGCAAGACAAGCATGATGATTATATCCTCTTATAAGGACTTTTATTCTTTTTTTTTTTTTTAAAGATTGTATTTATTTGACAAGACAGGGATCACAAGTAGGCAGAGAGGCAGGCAGAGAGAGGGGTGGGAGGCAGGCTCCCTGCTGAGCAGAGAGCCAGACGCAGGGCTCCATCCCAGGATCCTGAGATCATGACCTGGGGCAAAGGAAGAGGCTTAACCCACTGGGCCACCCAGGTGCCCCAGGACTTTTATTCTTAAAAATTCCCCATTTATGAATAATGATGATAAATGTTCTAAATATTAAATATTTATTAGTATGAATATATAAAATAGAACCAATGCCATTTGGGAACATTGGAAAGAACAAATTGGCTGATCACTTACTCTTCCCGGACCTCAGGATTTTTATCTTAAAAATGGGGATTGGCAGATTGATTACCTCTTGGTTCCCATTTAGGTAAAAGGTTATTAGGACTATAAGGGGAAGACACAGAATACCTCTCTTTTCCCTGCTCTTTGGCACCCCATCCTCCACCCCATATCTACCTTTCTAGCCATGGCCAGGTATGCCTCCCACACACAGGCCAGGCATGGTATCTGAGGTGGCATGGGCATAGCTTACCTGTTGCCCAGTTTTCAGTGACACTGCTTGTGTCATCCATCTTTTGATAGGATTCCTTGTCATGGTATCCTTTTTGCTTTCAGATTCGTTAGCAGTTTAATAGTCTGTAATTATTGAATTTTCTCATTTTTCAGTGAAAATCCTCAAATAATTTGAAATTAACTTTAAACAAAATCAAGATGGTTTTACTTGAGTAGCTTCAAAGAACTTTGGTGCCAGTTGTTAGTAAAATCTGTGCCCTCACCAGAGAAGTGCATGCAGGAGCTCCTGCCTGCCCTGTGTCCCTTGGGAGTCCTGTTCTCCAAGTGGATTGCCATATGCTGTCCTCAGCCATTCCACTGCCAGTATCTCCCTAAGTTCAGGAGATTGTTAATTTGTTTTTTGAAAGGAAAAGTTACATCTACTTGGACAAACCAAGAAAAAAAAATTTTCCACGTGATTATCGCACAACAGTGTTCAAAATGTTTAGTTTGGATTATAATAGCTGTTTTTGTTCTCTTTGTATCCAGTATCTTTGGTCCTTTCCTTAGTTCATTAGGAAAAAGTGGCCAAGTACAGGTTGAATAAGCTAGTATTCTTCTCCAGTTGCTGTTGACAGGTATAATTTGGACATACTAATTTTCTTTATTTTTATCTTAACCAATACTGACATACTAGTAAGAAATATTCATGGAGTTGGCACTTTGATCCTCTTAAGAGGATAAAATGAAAGAAGTATATAATATATGAAGACTCCTCACTTTTACTTGGGAATGTGCAAAGTTTCAAATTCAAATCAAGAAACCAAACACATTGAGTTAAAGATCTGTCTTGCAATAGGTCATCTGTGCCATACGTCTTAAAAAAACTTGGCAAATAGTGGCACCGGGGGGGCTCAGTTGGTTAAGCCTCTTGACTCTTGATCTCTCAACTCAGGTCTCTATCTCATTCAGGGTAGTGGGAAAAAAAAGGCCACTAAAATTATACTAAAACTGCTATAGTTCGTTAGTCAAAAAGTTCTTTGTTTTCCTCTTTCCCACTTGAAGGCAAGTAAATTCTTCACAATCGCTGTTTTCATCTGTTAAAGTGCTTATTTAGTAATTCTTTCTAGAAAATTAAGCCATGACACCTTTTTAATCTTACACAAGATAATCTTAGAAGCTTTCAATATTTTAGTTCATCCACTTGACTTTTGAGCTTGTTTATTCTAATTTCTTCAGTCAGTTTATATATCTATTTTAAGATGTTGTGTTAATGGATTTCATTCACTGTGAGGCAGAGAAGATCTGTTTGTTCCCAGATCCTTTGAATTTGTACTATTGAACACAAGGGAGACTTAAGCATAGGATCCAGGTAGATGGTGCACATCCACCTTCATCACTAGACTGACAACTCAGTCTTCTCTGTTGAGGGGTCACTGGTGTTGTCTGTGTCAGTAGTAACTCAGTGTTACTCTACTGTAGTGCCCCTAAGCAGTCACTTACTACCTAACAGCCTACATCTGTGCTTCCCACAATTTTCTACTGAAATACCCTGACAGTAAAGGACAGTGAACTGGTATCCTAAAGGTCTGACGTAGAATGTAGAGCTGTCAGCTGATTATCTAAGTTTTTTTAAATCTGTTTTTATCCCAAAAATTACCATAGGCTTCATATCCTACTGCATAATATAGTTGTCATATTAAAAGTATATGCACCTGGAAGCTATGTGGCCTTGCCTATTTCCTGGCCCCCTATATCTCCTAGAGATCCTATAGAGATCTATACACATGTTGGGTGGTGCTTGCCATGCTTCATGTCAGCAAAGTTCATGTGCTGGAAGATTCAACAATAATCAGGTGGTTTTTTCCCAGCCACTGTCCAACCACTGCTCCTCTTCCTCTCCCTCTTCCTGACCCTGAAATTTCTCACCCAGAAGCAGTGATCTATCTTCTTCCATTTTCCCCTCTCCCTTTGAGGGGGTGTCAAAAAGAAGTCTTCAAAAGCTTTTCTGATTTATAAATTTTCTAAAGTTGCATCCCTTAATATGTGTTAATAATTTTTTTCTAGGAAAGGTTTTTCAGGTGTCTCAGGTGATTCTAAGAGAAGCATTTTTTAAAAATCTTGACTGTTGGTACCTCTTGCCTTAGCTGAAATAACTCAAAGGTGATTCTTTGGTAGAGGGAAATTAATATCATTGTCTTTAAGAAAAATTTGTTCAGATCTATATGTTCAATTACATTTATATGTTTAATGTAAAATTTGTTGATTTCAAGGTATTTTTGACAAATGCAGCAAACGTCTTTTTGCTGGAACCATGTCCTGAAGTTCCCATGCTCTTGAAAGAACAAGTTGATGCCTGTAAAGCTGTTTTGATTATTTTTAGGCGCATGATAATGGAGCTTACAATGAATAAAAAGACATGGTAAGTTTATTTCAAATTAATTAATACTGTAAAACAGATGTTTCTGTTTTTCAACATAATAATTAAAATGTTAAAGCCTCCACTTACTAATGGCTTTACAAAGTGAACAATAAGGTGATAATCAATCTTTTGTAACAGTTTCTGTGAATTATGAAGAAGGTAAGTATCCAGCACTTTGATAGTTTATTTTTATTATTGGCTTTAAAAATGTTACTGAATTATAATTAGTCGTATTACTTAATAGTAGATTTTTCCATTTTAAATTGTTCATCAGACTGCTTTGTGGAAAAGCAATATAACTGGTGTTTTATATCATTCTTCATAAGCCCAGGAGAGGTTGTTAATTGCTCTGAAATGCTGTTAACTAATTTTTATTGCTTCAAATTTGAAGCTTTAAATTTACTTTGGAAAAACAATTATAGTAAATGACATATTGTCAGAATGACCAAATAAATAGTACTGTCAAACATATAGTGGCGTCATGAAAATGTGCTTATGCGAAATATTTTTATTTTACCCTTTGATTTTGTTTGGCGTCTGTGTGTTTATAATATCCCTGAAAGGAAACAGTGCTGTAGCTTTTTTTCCCATGCTCTTGTCCCATAATGAATGCATCACTCCAGCTTAGGAGATATTTTCAGATGTTCTCAGGAACCTCAGAGCCACTTTGTAATCCTCCTTCTTCATGTCCCTCAGTTGTTGTAAAATGCCTCTCCAGTCTGTCCTTTGCATGTTCCCCCCACCCAGCGCTGCCCCAGAACAGCCTGGCTGGATCAGCTGGTGTCAGTGAGCTTTGGCCTCTGTGCTCAGAGCAAGGGGCCACTACAGACCAGCTCCCGTGGCCACTTCCCTCATGGAAATCCTCGGTGGGGTCCTGTTACCAAGCCTATGTTTTGGATGCTTTTTCTGGGTGTCCTTGAATCAGCACTAAGGGGGCTTTGGAAAGCTCTGTGTGGACCTGGTAGAAAGCATAGAAATGAGGCAGGACTGAGCTGGCAGGAGTCCCTGCGGCTGTGGAGTCCAGCCTTTTTCTTTCTCTGGTGAAGGGAGGGTGGGCCTAAAGGAATCCTGTCAGGCAGCAAGTTCACTGGTTCAGAAACCACAGGAATCAAAGTGATTGTTTTAAGGCAATTCCAGGGTCATCTTTCTCATACTGGAAATACTACTGTGATGAACAACATGATTTAAACAAAGTTAAATGCTAAGTCTGTAACATTGAAAGTAATGCGAAATGCTGGTATGCTCACAACAGAATCATCTACTCCTCTATAGTATAGCAATAGTATTTTTTTATTTAAATTTTTTAAAAGATTTTATTTATTTATTTTACAGACAGAGATGACAAGTAGTCAGAGAGGTAGGCAGAGAGAGAGGAAGGGAGGCAGGCTCCCTGCTGAGCAGAGAGCCAGACGCGGGGCTCCATCCCAGGATCCTGAGATCATGACCTGAGCCGAAGGCAGAGGCTTTAACCCACTGAGCCACCCAGGCGCCCCAGCAATAGTATTTTTGATGAGTTTTTTCTTTGAAGACTGTGAATTCAGTTTACCTTTATATCAATAGTATTTTGATCATTTTGATAATCTTTTTTGGTGAACATTCTAAACTAAAATTAAGCAAATCTTCTCTGTTCTTTAATAATTCAGAAATTTCCAGGTAAAAGTATTTTAAAAAAACAACTTATAGAAATAGATGAAAATACCAAAGAATAGTCAGTAGCTCATAGGAAGGGATGTGGTCTGTTTCCCTAGCAGAATTTCCTATGCATCTTAGTGTAGGACAGTCCCTGGATTCCTTTCCTTCCTTCTTTCATCCAGTACATAACTACTGAGCTTCTGCTGTGAGGATATAAGGTGAACTAGACAGACAGAGTTCCTGCCCTTGTGAGGTTTCCATCCTCATAGACAGAGGCAGAATGAACACAGCAGTTTCAGTGGTAGAAGCACAGTGAAGCTGGGTAAGAGGAAAAAGTGGAGGGTGAGGGAGTGTTTTTCTACGGGTGTCCAGGAAGACCTTTGTAAGCAACACCCTGAGGACAGGGAGGGGGAGGCCAGGGGGAGGTCTGAGCATAGAGCTTTCCACAAAAGGAACAGCAAGTACGAAGGTGGTGTGTTCTAGGCCACTGTAGTGGAGCAGACAGAAGGAGAGGGAGGGTGGGAGGGGATGTGACAGGGACCAACCAAAGCCAAGTTGAGTGGGGTCTTGCTGGCCACAGGAGGGATATTGGCTATTCCTCTGTCTGTACGCAAGACTGTGACACAATCCAGTGTATGTTTCTGAAAGATTTCTCAGACTTCCTCTGGAGGAGAGACAGTGCAGTGTGGGGGTGGGGGGAGGGGCACACAATGTCTGGGGCCATAGCCAATGGCAGCTTAGACTAGGGCTGTAGCCAGGGAAGTGCTAAGAAGCAGTCCTGAAATGGTGAGCAGTAGCGTTGTGTGAATGGTTAACAATACCGCCTGTGTGAGAAGATGGGGACAGCGTCAGTAGTAAAGAGTGCAGGAAACTCTGTTCCTCAGTGTAGGGACAGCATACATGCATAATTTCCCATGTTCCCATGGGAGTTTTATACTCTTGGAGCATTTTTGAGGAGGAAGGACCAAAAGTCAGTGTTTCACAAAATACAAAGAAGCAAGCTGGAGTCAACTGTTAGGAAGGATTTTTCTAAACTGGAGGTGATTTTTTCACCTTCATTTTCTTCCAGAAAACTGTGTAGGAATATCATGGCTTGCCAAGCTTTCTCATAGGTTCAAAAATTAAATTAAACCTGTGTCTTTGTCAGTCATTGCTTTGGTCAGGTTTGTTTGTTGTTTTTTTTTTTTTTTTTTTGAGAGATTTATTTATTCACATGAGAGAGAGAATGCATGAGTGGGGAGAGGATCAGAAGGGAGAAGAGAGAAAGAGAATCTCAAGCAGATACCCTGCTGAGTGTGGGACCCGATGCAGGGCTCGACCCCACGACCCTGACATCATGAGCTGACCCAAAACCAAGAGTAGGATGCTCAACTGTCTTAGTCACCCAGGCATCTCCAAGTTTGCATTTTTTATAGCAATTCCCATGATTGAGGTTTTATTTGAAAATTATTATATTTCTTGTTCTTGTCATGTTCATAAGATGAGTAAGTAACCTTTCATGTGGAAAGGATTGTTTTTTGTTGTCTTAAGCATCACATAAATGTGAGCAGGCAGTGGTGATGCTGAGGCCTGTGATGGGTCTGGGTACCCCAAATATGGTGAGGGACATGCTCTCCCTAAGTCTGCACCATTTCTTCCTCATCGTCCTCTAAGCTGTCTGCTCCAAACGCATGCACCCACATCTCCCATGACTTGAGAGCTCTTCTTATTCCATGCTTCCAGAAACCATAGATGGTGTACAGCACAAGCAAACAACTGGAACAAAGTTCCAAATGTTGCCAACAGATAACCCAGGGATGAAAATCAAATGAGGTTAGCTACAAATAGGGTAAGAAACCTTATTTGTAGATGTCATTGTACCATGAGAGAAGCTTAACTAGATTCCACATCGTGTTAAATAGAAAATATCGTCTCGATATGTGGAAGTACGAGAAAAGTATAAAGGAACTGTGATTTGAAGATTTCATCATCTGACCTGGACAAGATGACTCTGTCCAGTTCCCTATCTTATCATGAGCAAGCATGTAGGCCAATGAGAAAGCTCTAAAGATGAATGAACTGTTAGTGGATAAAGCCTTGAAGGAGAAGTTAAAAGGTATGATTCCCCTCAAAACAAACAGACTTCCCTTATATACAAAAGATACGTGTTCTTGGTTTGCATGGAATTCCAGAAAGGGAAAAGTAAGCAAACACCATGCAATGAAGAATGTAACTTAGTTGTGAAAAAGAAAAATGCCCTTTGGCTGTTCTGAAGAACTTACCACTATTAATATAATTAGCAGTGTTACTTTGTGTCTTCAGTGCCCTCTTGCAAACCCAGCACCTTCCAGGCACAAAACTCCATGCCTTAAAGTGACCAAAAGTGACCTTTCCAAACCACCCTATCTGTGAGTTCCTCTGGAGTTCAGTCATAGTATGATACCGACTGCATACCTCCCCAGAATGAGGACCAGAATGTCCGTTTTATTTCCTACCAAAAAGATAAATGGGAGACCTCACAGGTTAAGTAAAATAATGGATGGGAAAATTAAAGGTTGCTGCATACATTCAAATGGGCACAACTATTCACTGAGCACTTTTAAGGACTGGTATAGTTGGAGAAACAGTCTTGACTCCCTGTTGGAATGAGAAAAAATTAGGTTGATACCTGTTTTATCCTGCTTATTGATGTGGTTGTAGGTCACATATTTTTAGAACTTTTGTAACATAAGGTGGTTTATTTTGATAAAATATGGTATTTGTTCTGTAATTAGCACTTAGATTATTAATGCTTTTGAGTAATACATGATTATCATTGTTGCTGAATTCTTAAGAGAATTTCTTGTACCTATAAGTTAAAGTGCTTTGGAAATGTGATTAATAACATGAGCTTTTATTTTGGGTTACCCAGGGAACAGATGTTGCAAATACTACTCAGGATAACAGAAGCTGTTATGCAGAAGCCAAAGGATAAACAAATAAAGGACTTGTTTGCCCAGAGCTTGGCAGGGTTACTGTTTAGGGTAAGTCTTTTTTATTAAAACACTGCAAATGCAAGAAATGAATCAGATTTTATAGCAAAGTAGTTTTAATCGTGGAGAATTTTAAGAGTAAAATTAAACTCTAAATTTCTAGAAATTACATTGTAAATTTTCATTTTTAGCTTTGCCTTAAAGGTTGTAATCTATTCTTTACAATTAGTGCTTGACTTCTCCTAGGCTTTCCCACCTGTCTGCCATTTACTTCCTCTTTTGACTTGCTTGAGTTTGGTAGAAATTAGGAAGATAACAAGAGCTGATGTCCTTGGTGGAGGGCCAGGTAGATTTGAGGAAGTAAAAGGTAAATGGAAGCATGGGAATGTGGGGGATAAAGTCAGGGAGCAATTCAGGCTAGAAATAAAAATGTAAGTGTAATTAGTCCAAGAGTCATTGGGCTATGTGTTTCAAGCCACAGATGGAGAGATTTTGTGTCCTAAAGAGGAGAGGTCCATCTCCATGGTTGGTAGAGGAGAGGAATCATCCAAAGATGCTGAGAAAAGGTGGCCAGGGAACTGGGAGGGAAACTAGAGGAGCATGTGTCTAGACACCTGGAGACAAGGACTGGGGAAGAGGAGAATGGCCAGTTGACATTTGCTTTGACAAGATGTTGCTGATTGATAATATTCTGGGCCCACCTGGAAATGGATGGAGGAGAAGATGAGAGCTGGGCAGTAGAGGTAGCAAGTATAGTTAAGGCTTTGCAGAGGTGGAAGGGAGGAGGAAAAGATGAGCTAGCTCAGTGGACAACATGCATGGAAGCCACAGTTTAAGGTGGGTGGTTTTAAAGTCTGTTTGCTTGCAGTGAGAAGGGTCCAATGAAGACAGCCTGGGGGAGAGAGAAGAGAAGTAAAGACATAAAGTCCTGGATAAGGTGAGCAGGACTGGGCTGGCCTTAACAGGGAGCAGAGAGCCAAAGAGATGGTTATGTCTCGTACATCTCACATAATGGGAAGGGTCAAGAACCTGAGTAGTCTGACATCATACTGAGGGGAAAAGAAGAGGAAGTAGATGTTGAACTAACTGCATAGGAAGTAGAAGTTTTAAAGTTTTTTTTTTTTAATTTTATTTTTTTATGAACATATATTTTTTTTCCCCAGAGGTACAGGTCTGTGAATCTCCAGGTTTACACACTTCACAGCACTCACCATAGCACATACCCTACCCAATGTCCATAACCCCACCCCCCCTCCCAAACCCCCTCCCCCCAGCAACCCTCAGTTTGTTTTGTGAGATTAAGAGTCACTTATGGTTTATCTAAAGTTTTAAAGTTTTAAAAAGTTTTAAAGTTTTAAAGAAGTTTTAAAGTTTTAAAGAAGTTTAAAGTTTTAAAGTTTAAAGAAGTTTTAAAGTAGAAGTAAAGTTTTAAACCACCTGAGGGTGGTAGCCTATTGCAACGTTTCTCTAGAAAGCACTGGTATTTATGGGATACACAGAATTTATGGAGCATTTCTGAAGGAGAACAGTGTGAAAGGACTCTGGAAAAGTGTAACATTTTATACAAATAGAGACAGTGCAATAAATGGGCCTGCTTTAAGTAATCTGGTAGAAGATAGTATGGTGGATCATGAGCTAGAAGTGACAGTTGTAGGAAGGAGAAGTCAGTTTCTCCCCTCAGTTGACTTGAAGTGATTTTGGAGGATATATACTGAGATCTTATGTAGAATACAGGTAGGAAATAGAGGGTGACACAAAGAGAAACTAGTTCTTTAAATAATGGTTATATATTCCCATTGTAACACAAGAGAACCCAACTCTTCATATTAATTTTTAATAATTTAATATGATCGAATGCTCTTGGCTCGATGAAAAATATATGAGAGGCTACAGAAATAATTGACATGTACTAACTTGCCTCCTGAATAGTATAGTCACTCTTACTCTGATTATCTTGCCTAGTTACTAGATACATGAAGTGGTCTATACATCATTTTGTATGTGTCTAACCTTTCTCAAGGGTGGTACTGACCACTGGCTTTGCTTCCCACCTGGAGTACAGATACGCTGCTCACTTGGCTCTGACTATCCTGGAGAGTTTCACTGTCAGCACCTTCTCAGTCTCCAGCCCTTAGGGGACTGGAGCTGCCAAGTGAAGTGGACTGAAGCCAGGCTCAGGCTAGTGGGTGCTTGGCCCTCATTCCTCACCAGTTGTCTGGCCCTGCATCCATGGAATGTATTGGAATTGGAGCAAGAACTTGTCACTGAATTAAACAAGAATCTATTGTGAAATTGTATTTTTTGGTTTATTTGATTAGTTTTGGTTTGAGAGAAAAAGTCCCCCTTATTAATGGAGAATCTTGTCAGATCTTGAAAATTAGTTTTAAGTCCATGATTATTAATGCTTTTGATGTCATCCTTATTATTTTAGCAGTGGTTAGATGGATCAAGAAGAATGCTTAAATTAAGAAGCCACATAAAATAGTAGAGAGAAGATGAGCTTTTTGGAGGTAGACAGATTCTGGGTTCTGATCTCAGCTGTGGTACTTCTTGGCTGTGTGGCCTTGAGCAAATCACTTCACCTTCCTGAATCTCTTCCCTAATCTGTCACTATCAGGAAAGGATTCCTTCTGACTCTGCAGTATTGTCATAAGAATCAGAGTGGGTTCATCTGGGATTTATGATCATCTGTTGACCTCCCAAGCCCTTTCGTGGGATCCAAGGTGGGGAGAAAAATGTGAAAGGTCTGGACAGCTCGGCCAGGCAATCAAGTGGGCATCATCTTAATTCCATACTAAAATTAAACTTGCCATCAAATTGTTTGTTCATGTAGACTGTCTACAATTGCCAGATGCTTGATTTTTTAAAAATTTAAATAAGGAAACTATTAAAGGGGACAGGAAATTTTGTGTTGCCATTGTCCTTTTCTCTTTTTTGAAATTTTCCTCTAGTGTTTATAGTTTCTTCTCTCAGTAGATAACTTGGGTTGGCATATTTCCTTTAAATGATAGTTGGGTTTTATTTGGATATATATCAGATAATGGTGTTTGCCATAAGTGATGTTTTAATCTGTTATCAATGCTAAATAGAACCTTATGCTTGAAGCTCTGAAAGTATATCAGGAAACCTGGACTATGGTCCTTCTAGTTACAGTATGGAATTAGAGTTCCCTAAGTGTGGTGAGTAGAGGAGTGCAGCAAGTGGTTGGTTAGGGAACGTTTTATGAATGAATGTGCTTTTTAATACAGCTTATTTGTCAAGATATATTTGATAAAACATGAATTTCAGTGCTGGAGGAACTTCGGAGATGTTCTTTTTCAGCTTTTTACTTTTGACCAGAAATGACTCCAAAAAGGCAAGTTAGCTCACAAATCAAGTTAGTGACAGAACCCCGACTATGGGGCTCCCTGTTTACCTCCTCCTAGACAAGGGTAACTTGCTGAGAGAGCAGCCTGCCTTCATGCGCAAATGTGTACCCCCGCCACCCCTCCCCTGCACACGAGGTGCCGTGGTTTTGTTCTGGATGCAGGTGTGTTTAGCTGTAATTTATGATGATTATGATGATTTGCCAGGTCTGTGCACGTGTTTCTGAGATTTGCTAAGATAAATTTAATAAACTGCAAGAAGTCTGTGTTCTGTCCTTGTTCTATAATTAGTCAATAAAGTGAAGCCAATGAAAGATACCCAGTACAGGGCATCTTCTACCACACGAAAATTCTGCTTTTAACTTGACTGTAATGAGACATGAGGCTGAGCGCTGGTAGCATTACCAGCCTCTCCTCTCCTCTTACTCCGCTGGGATTCTCTTTGATCTACTCTTTATTAATTTTATTGCATATATGCATTTTATGGTAATGCCCCCAAACTCATTTTGAAGACAGGAGTGTAAAATGGAATAAACAGAAGATGGCATTTTAGTCATAAAAATATATGTGATACAAGGTGGTGGGTATTAGGGAGGGCATGTATTGCATGGAGCACTGGGTGAGGTGCAAAAACAATGAATACTGTTACGCTGAAAAGAAATAAAAAAAATATGTGATAAGGTCTTAGTAAAAATAAATGATAAAATTATTTTAGCTTTTTCTTTTGCATTGTTCTTTTGCATTCATCCATCTTAGAATTGGATTTTCAGTATGAATATTTAAAACCTTGTTTTCACTATATTTAATGACTTTAGCTCAACTTTTAAAAAGTGTGGTAAATGTGAGTTGAAATGTAGAGAACAGGTACATTGCATAAGGGTCACTTTAAACATGATTTTTCAAGTGTTTGGAACAGACCTGCCTAATTACTGACTGTTTTCTATTTCTCAAAGTTTTCCTGTGTGTATGTTAAAGAAAAATTTCTCTTGTAATTAAAATATCAGTTTGCCCCTGTCATATGCATAGGACAACTCCCATTGACTGTGGGAGTCTGTTTTTATCTGGGATGGGCAGAAGTATTTGCAGGTTAGCACCTTAAGGAGCACATTTAGCTCTGACAACAGATCAGGGAAGTTACGCAGACTTTGAATATAACTATTCCCTCTAGTAAGATTAGGAAAGCCTTTGGGGCTCACCTGTGATGGACTTGGCACTTCTTTCAAGGCAGATATATTTTGATTTGAATTTTAAAGGATGTGGAACATTTTGGTGGAGGTAAGGAAATATCCAGAACATATGCATAGTTGTCTGGTAGGGTTGCCCACGTGACTATTTATAGTGCCTTGAACCATAAGGCTAGAGGAGGGACACAGATAAGTAAATAGGCTCTTAAGGAAAGTGCTCTGATAGGGAAATGCAGAGAGTGTGGGAATGGAGGCTACTTACTGGAGGCTGGGTCGGGTAGCAGTCAGGGACACCTTGGAAAAAATAATATCCACATTGTGCCCTGAAGAATGAGAGTTAAAGAGTTAAAGTAAAGCAAAAAAGAAGGGAAGAGAAGAAGGAAGACTACATGCAAACGCCAGGAGCAGGAGAGACCAGGTCGGGGAACTGGAAGAATCTCAGTAGAAGCATTGAATTCTTCTTACTCTTCTGCTATATTAACAGGTACCTGCAGCAGCTGGAGTTCTCTAGTATGTCGGTAGACAATGTCAGGAAACCAGAGAGGTCTGGGCTGAACGTGGAGATTCAGAAGTCACCAGTATATACATATAGTAACTGGAGCCATGAGAATGGAGATCAGAACCCCTCAGGCAGAGGTGGGGTGTGCAGGAGGGGAGAAAGCCAGAGCAGTTGGTTGACTGGGGAATGAGGAGGTACACATGCAGTGAGTGTGGAACATTCTTTCAAGAAATTTGGCTTTTAAAAAAAAATTTTTTTTTTGGCTTTAAAAGTTCTAGCTTGAGGGGAGAATCTCGCTGAAGGGAACTGTTTTGTTTGTTTTTTGTTTTTAAGATGAGGTAGACTTGGAGCATGTTTAAATACTGATGGGGAGTTGCTGGCAAAGTAGGATAGACTGAAAAAGGAAAGGCAGGGTTAATGGAAACACAAAGACCCAGGAGGAGGTTCAGAGCAGAGATGGGAACAAGCCTAGAAGAGTAGGAACTCCTCTTCACTTACAGCCTGCAAATAAGGAGAAGCTGGGCAAACACCTGTGCCTTGCGGGTAAAGGTTGAGGACATTCTTGCTTAATGGATTCTGTTTTCTCTGAGGTCTGCAGTGAGCTTATCTGCTAAGAAGCAGGGAGGAGTTGGTGGGGCTGGAGGTTTACATATTTAAGAGGAGGCTAGAAACAGCCACAGTAGAGAGTACGAGAGAGAGAGCTGTCTCAAGAAGTAGAATAGTTGTTCTGAGAGCTTTGTCTTCTCCCCAGTTACAGCAGAGGACTAGCTGTAGGCATTAGAGGGATTTTGAATCAGTAACTTTGTTCATGATGATAACTGATTTCTCTGTAGCTCAGATCCTGGTTACAGTTGATCAAATGAATTTTGAGAAACTAAAAGAAAAACAAGATCAAGTGCTTTTTTATTTTAAAGTTCATTTTATTCATAGTAACTTAAAATATTTTGTTAAAAATCATTCTTCTTCCAAGTGAGGGTGATTCAGTTCTCTTGTTGGTTGGTCCTAGACGCTCATGGTGGCGTGGATCCGAGCAAACCTCTGTGTGTACATTTCTCGAGAGCTCTGGGATGACTTTCTTGGTGTGCTGTCCTCCCTCACGGAATGGGAAGAACTGATAAATGAGTGGGCCAACATCATGGATTCCTTGACAGCAGTGCTTGCAAGAACTGTTTACGGAGTTGAGATGACAAACCTACCTCTGGACAAACTAAGTGAACAAAAGGAAAAGAAGCAGCGAGGCAAAGGTACTTTCACTCTCACAGAGTACCACTGATGTCTGAGACGGAGGAGGAGTGTGTGTCTATACATACATGCATTTTGTGGAATCTCATAAAAAACGGAACCAGCCATACAAGTGGTGTCTTTTTTTTTTTTTTTAGATTTTTATTTATTTATTTGACAGAGACAGAGATCACAAGTAGGCAGAGAGGCAGGCAGAGGCAGGCAGAGAGAGAGGGGAAAGCAGGCTCCCCACCGAGCAGAGAGCCCGATGCAAGGCTCGATCCCAGGACCCCAGGATCATGACCTGAGCCGAAGGCAGAGGCCTAAGCCACTGAGCCACCCAGGCGCCCCAAGTAGTGTCTTTTTAATGGTGGTATTGGATTGTGTTTTGTAGCACTCTGTCTTCTTAACGAGGATGATGAATTTATGAAGGAGCTTTGAATGAAGAAGAAAGATGAAGGGGAGTAGCAGTAGCAGCAACAATAATAATAACGGCTCACGCATGGATGTATTCTCTCTCCTCACCCTCATGGAAATTTCTGAGTTACCATCCCAGTATCATAGACAGAAAAACGGGAGTACACAGAGTCCATGGTGACGGACTCATTCAAGTCACATAGCTCAGAAGTGGGAGAGCCATTAATCAAAGCTAGGCAAGTCCAGCTCCAGGCACCACACCAGAAAGACACATTCCACTGCCTGCTTAGGATAGTTAGAAAAATTCTGAATGTTTCAGATGGGTGTCTTTTTGGCCTTTTTTGTGTTTCTGGCTTAAAATTGTTCTGACACCTAGAGTCTGATCAAGGTGGAAAACATCTGTGGTGGTTTCTATTGGGGACAATGATTTGTCTTCATTACTGCTTTAAGGCTATGACATGGTCCTTGGATTAATAGAGTTGTACTCCAATTTATTATGTAAAGATTTTGAGGCATATCGTAGAAGTACCTATAATACAATAGATAAAATGCATAAGGACACTGGGGAAAAATTAAAGGTGGTGGAGTTGCAGGAGTGGTTAAAATGCCAGAATGCATGCCAGAAAACCTCCTATGCTTGCTGGGCAGGGGGGCAAGCTTAGATTTGACTCTTATCTTCACAGGGTTACAGTAGAGGATCATAGATTACAAAAGGGAAATATCCAAAGCTTTTCCTGGTCCTAAGACCTGGGAGGAGTTTCTCCTCCAAAGACTTATAAAGTGTGCATTGCTTGCTGTAGGTAGACTTCATCCTCAACAATACCCTTATTATAGACTGTATCAGCTTTTCCTGTGTGACAGATCACCCCAAAGCATAGTGGCTTAAAGTAACAGCCAATTGTTTAGATCATGATTTTATGAGTTGGCAATTTGGGCTGGACACAGTTGGGCAGCTCTGCTGGATTCATTCCTGTGTTTGCAGTCAGCTAGGCTGTCAAATAATCAGCTAGGCAGCTCTAGGGTTGGCCAGCTGTCAGCTGGGGCAGTGGTGTGGGGACTTGGCCATATACCTTTCACCACCCAGCAGGCCAGCTCAGGCTTTTTTTTTTGGTGAGGACTTAGGGTTGTAGGAGCAGCAACAGGATAAGCCCAGATTTTCAAGTGCGTTTCAAATCTCTGCTTGTTCAGTTTTGCAACCAAAGTAAGTCTGGTGATGAAGCCCAGGGTTCCTGTGGAAGAGGACCACAGAGGATGTGGATGTGGGCAGGTGCGAACCAGTTATGCTGATAATTTAACCATACAGATATGTAATTAATTTGACTGATTCTTATAATATTTTTGCAGCAGTCCGTGAGTGACTTTATTTATTTATAGGAAGGTAAACAATCTGAAAAATATTATTTATGGAATGATACAGAATGAATTTAATTATTTAATTAATGACCATGGCAAATATTTCTCATTTATCTATTATATTGCTTTATTCTAAAAACCAATTTAAATATTCATTATGGAAATACTTGCCTTCTAAACACGGGAATTGTGGAAACAAAATACACTCTCAGGAGCCTGGGTGTGAAAACAACCCACAGAGGGTAGCCACCAGCACATTACCTGTACAGAAATCTCTGTCTTACTCTCTTTTCTCCTGTATTCCTTTTGGATCCTTGATCACTCGTTTGAAATATTTGACCAGAGCTCTATGAGAAGAAAGCAGAGAAGTAGTATCTAATTTTGTGACAAGAGAAGCTGCTGATTATATACAGTTGTATTTATGAAATTTGCTGAGCAACACAGGCTGTAGAATGAATGATAATGAATTCAGCCTTTAAATTATTTTTTTGTCTTATACTTTATCAGGCTGTGTTCTAGATTCTCAGAAAGGAACCACTGTGGGGAGATCCTTTTCTCTCAGCTGGCGGAGCCACCCAGATGTGACCGAGCCAATGCGATCCAGGAGTGCCACCACATCTGGGGCACCAGGAGTTGAGAAAGCAAGAAATATCGTTCGTCAGAAAGCAACTGGTAAACATTTATTCAACTATTTCTCTAAGGTCTAGTTGCTGTCTGAAGTGGATCTACAGGAATAAAATGTTTTAAAAGTTTTAAAATTCCACTCAGAACTTAAATACATGGCCTTTATTAAATGGGATATTTTCATATCTTTTAGTTGTCTGTTCCAGTTACTCTTCAAATCCATTTTTTGATACTTATTTCTGAATCTTTCATTGTGAAAAAGAAACTTGAGATGTTAGTATTAAGTGAGATATCTGTGCAAAAGAGAAAATAGATATTTTGTTTGAACCCTGAAGAAAATACATTCTCTGTCATCACACAGTTGCACCACTGTTGTTGTTGAGCACCGTTAATCTTAGTGTGGCACTGTTCCGGCAAAGAAGAAGGGAAAAATGCACTCCGTTTGCAGGGCTGGAGGGGGAGAGTTAAGTGTTTTGCTTCTTTTGGGAAATAGAGCTTTACATGCCTGGAGCTGTTGTCCTTCTAGCCTGTTAGAACTAACAAGAACTTGACCAAGAACCCACAGCCTTTTTGATTGGTTTGCTACACTTTTCTTTAAAGACCGAAAGAGAAATCTTTTAAAAAAGTAAGCTTATATCCAGTATTTGATAAGAACAAATAAAGGGCCTTCTCCCTCACCCCCAATAATTTTGAGGCTGTAACTACATTTAAAACAAATTTATCTGAGTTCCCTGTGTTTTTTCATGTCAGTAATACCATGCTGCTATAATTGATATTCAGCATGTTGACTGAAGAAAGTCACGATATTCTCTGGTCATAAATCAGAGTCATTTATACTCAACGTATGTTACAGTGCTTAGTAAAGTACAGATGGCTTGGAATCCTGTTGGAGTCTTTATGAAAATCTATTATACCTAATATATTATAGCTTAACCCTAACTGTCTAATGCTCTTTGCCATAGAATTTGTTGATCATTATCACCTTATCCACATTCACCTTCTGTTCTACTTTTGCTTTTCTTCATCTTCTCCCCTGAGGAGAGACTCATTTCCTAATAACAGGCAACTTTGAGGAAGGCTTACTCAATGATTTCCATTCTTGTCCCAACTCCTAAAAACTCCTTTTTTCCATTTTAATCAGAGCAGAACTTTGTGACAAAGTGGCATCATGCCACAGCTGCCCAGACTCCCTGATGTCCCTCAGGGCCCTAGAATTGTAATGATAATAAAAGTGGTCATTCAAAACACTGTAAACTCTACGTAAACATTTTAATGAGCAACAAACTATTGTATGTTGCATGCTCCTTATTCCCCTACTTGGCCAAAACACAGCTATAGACAAGTTTGTATTTTAGTTTTTCAACAGGTTTCAGACCAACAATACAATAGTGGCACCAGTAGTGTTCTTTCTTAGTAATCTTTGGTGCATTTATGCCAGCAATCTTCTGTTCAAGTGTTCTCAAAAAGCCATGGTATTGCAGCACTAAATACTTTTACAAAATCATGTTAAAGACATTTTAGACTATGTCCCTTTAAAGTCATAAACCTGGCCTTTTTAGGATTAATTAAATTAATTAAATTTAAAGTAAATTAAATTTAAATTAAAAACACTTGGAACCATAATCTTTAAAAGATAATGAGATAAGAGCTATTGAGCTGGACTGGCCTATTACCTTTATGTATTTTGTACACACATATGTGTATCTTTTTTTTTTTTTTTTTAAAGAGTTTATTTCTTAGTAATCTCCACACCCAAGGTGGGGGCTTAAACCACAACCCTGAAATCAAGAGTCACATGCTCCACCAGTGCCCCATGCATTTCCTATTCTGTTTTACACATTTATCTTTTTAGTTGCCTGTGAAAACAATAGTCTCTGAAGATTTTATTATATCATGCTGTTTTATAAAATTAATTTATGGGGTGCCTGGGTGGCTCAGTGGGTTAAAGCCTCTGCCTTCAGCTCAGGTCATGATTCCAGGGTCCTGGGATCTAGCCCCACATCAGGCTCTCTGCTGAGCAGGGAGCCTGCTTCCCCCCTCTCTCTGCCTGTCTCTCTGCCTACTTGTGATCTCTGTCAAATAAAATAAAATCTTAAAATACAATAAAATAAAATTAATTTATATAGACTAATAGTTACTATATAAATAAACTGGTTTTACTCAGTTCTGTTATTTAAACATTGTGTAATAATTCACCTTTCTATCTTTTAAAAAAGGCTCAGAAAACTTTCTTGGTAGATTTTGACTTGCATAGAGTCTCCTGTTAATGAGAGAACAGCAGCCGAGGAAGTTAGTTTTCACCACTTTTATTTAGCATTAAAGTGCTTATTATGAAAGACCCATTCGAAAGTGACCTTTTTTTCCTAATGCCAATACAAGAGTAATTTAAGATCGTTATATTATAATATGGCTCACAGACTACACTGAGATTGGGAAAATGTTAGTGATGGTGATAAGATGGAAATAATAAAATAATTAATTGCAGAGTAGGGAAATGGCAATTAATTTAACAGAGAATCAACTACTTTGCAACTTAAAGGAAACTGACAAGGAGAGTCTTAAAAAATTATAAAGGAAAACTTTGTTCCTGAGTGTGAGTTATGCTAAAATTTTAGGTGTCTAAAATGAATGATTAAAGCAAGTCAGTTTCCACACAAAAAAGTTATCCTAAGTTTTATTATTTCTAAAATATCTAGTGACCAGTTTTGAGAAAATGCAGTCATTTCACTTATAAAAGGAAAGCTCTTCTAAACACCTCTGACGTTGAGAGATGAACACATCTTTTAGGAAATTTGAAGTAAGTCAGTTTGACATTTGCATGGAAGTCATTGTCCCTTAAGTATTATCTTACCCATTTGTGAAGTATACTATTAATCAATTTAGATGTGGGAGAAAGAACTGGGAATTTGACAGCCAGAGAATGGGGCCCGTGGAGACACAAGGAAGTAAAAAGGTTATTTCTCTCTTTACAGATGTATCATTCTCATTTGTATTTCTGTTTCATTAATATGAAATAAAATCATGTAAAAATAATAAAACAGCAAGTAAACCTTTATATTTAGTTTTAAGAATAAAAGTGATCTTACTGATGGTAGTTTCATATATATGAGGTGTATTCTCTTCCTTTGTTTTCTTCCTCTGTTTTCTCAAATGGTCATTTCACTAGCAGTCTTTTGAGAACTTAAGAGCATTATAAAGTTCATACTAAGAAATTATGGATTTAATAAGCACAAAGTGTGTTATGAAAGGGTGGGTTTCATGGAAATTCCAAATCTTTTGATGTTCAACTTGACTTTTATGTGTTTCTGAGGTTTTAGGACATTTAATTTTCTAAATGATTTGCTTTTGAATACAGTCAGCTCTCAGTAAACCAATTTTTGAATTATTTATTATTTAAGAGCAATTTTAATCTTAGACTAGATTTTTCCCTCCCTCCCCATGGTCTTCTCATATGTGTGTCCTTTAGGAAGGGAAAACTGATTATAATGTCTGCCCAAATAACCCAAATGTGAGTCTGATACACAGCAGGAAAAAAGGAAGGCTAAACATGTAAAGCATTCTAAAATAAGATTATTTATGAATTGTCCATTCTCCCATGTCATGAGAATGACTAAAAGTTGGCTGTATTTAGAGACTACGATTAAATACTCTGCTTTGTACTGACTTCCTTTATGTATAAAATGACTTCTTTAAATATTGAAAGAAAGACCAGAAAAATAGAGGTAAAAAAAAGTGAAAGATCCTGATGTGCTTCTGACATAATTGTTACTTTATCTCTCTTGGAAGCTAAGCGAAGCCAGTCTATCAGCAACTGTGTCCACCTTTCTGAGGCTTTGCCTGCCACTAAAAGCGTCCCGCTCCTCCTTCACACCGTGAGCGCTCTCTTACCTGGTCTCTCTTACTCCTCTTGCTCTCACAGGCTGTCAGGTACTGTAATGCTGTCTCTTGTGTCCGTCAGTGTCCCTGGGCTTCTCCTGCTTGCCACTGGGCCTTGCTTCCTTTGTTAGACCTCTCCAGTCCCCCACCATGCATGCGTGCCTGGCCATTGCACTTTGCACTTACTTTTAATGAATATTAATAATTGTTTTTATGTAGTTAGATGTTTAGTAGCAATTAAACAGTCAAGAAAAATTCCTTTAACACCACTGGTCTTTGCTTTCCTAGTTAAGAAGGATACAGGATTTTGTGGCCCATAGTTTTTCACAGTGATGACTGCCTCAGTGTGCCTTCTGTACAATGCCTGCAGAACAAAAGTTTTGAGTGTGTTAGTGTCTGAATGCTTGCAGTGCCTCTCCAAAATGGATAAGTGGGAAAATTCATGTAGGCAAGAACTCCTTGGTATTAATAAATCATAAACATGTACAAAGTAATGTTTATGGAGATTCACACTGATTATTAAGATCTGAGTTAAAAAAAAGATGCTAAAAAGTGCAATTTTCAAAACAAGGAGATGTTCTTGTGCACCGGCCAATTAAAATTGAGTTTAGCCACATGTAGTTTGCACACAGTGTTCTGGATTATTAAGACATTATGGCACCAAAAGTGGTGATTTTGGGCACAGACCCCTCAACAATGGATCTTCTTTGCTCTACAGTGAATAATTAAGCCCATGTCAAGTTACTTTGCAATGATTCTGTAATGAACCGAATCTTCATGTTAAAGAGGGACAAGTTTTTGTGTTCTTTTTATTTTTCAGAAAGATGGTATTATAGATAGTATTTATTTAGTATCAGAGATAGCCTGCTTGTGACTTTCTGTAGCACTAAATCATGCCGTACTGAAGTGAAGCAAAGCAGAAACAAATCTTCATTTCCCTGATAAGTGTGTAAGATACCATATTATTTAATTAGCAGAATATGAGGGAAGAAGTCCATTTTATTGAGACTGAGGAGTACATTTCTTAGAAAATACTTTTCTGTAGTAAGTACCAAAGGTGAAACACAGTAAGAATGGTAATATGGTCACCGGTCAGTTAAATTACTTATGAGCATTAACTAGTTGATAATTTGGTTTTCAAAGAAGTACTACTGCCTAGAAATGATTAATAAAGTATTTTAAGTAGTTTGCTTTCTATTTGTCTGATATTCAGCTGATACGTACCCAAAAGGAGTTCTTTTCATGGTGGAAAGTTTTTGTGTTTCACATTCCCTTTTTTCCCCCATATAGGTACGTAGTTCCAGCAGAAATTAAATGTAGGGGCGCCTGGGTGGCTCAGTGGGTTAAAGCCTCTGACTTCCGCTTGGGTCATGATCTCAGGGTCCTGGGATCGAGCCCCACATCAGGCTCTCTGCTCAGCAGGGAGCCTGCTTCCCTTCCTCTCTCTCTGCCTGCCTCTCTGCCTACTGTGATCTCTGTCTGTCAAATAAATAAATATATATATATATTTTTTTTAAAGAAAAATCAAATGTGGTTTAAAACAGTGGTTCTCAACTGGGGATGACTTTTCCCCCCGCAGGGAACATTTGGCAGTGTCTAGAGTCTTGTTGTCACTGCTGGGGCAGTGCCACTGACATCTAGTGGGATGCTGCTAACCAGCCACACTGGCTCCTCAGGACGGCCCCCTCATGAAGAATTATCTGACCCAAAGTATCAATAGTGCTGAGGTTGGGAGACCCTGATTTGGAGTGAAATGAAGCAGGACGTGCTGAGTCAGTATTTTCCTGCCTTTGTCGTCCTTATTTCTGGTTTTATAGCACAAAGGATAAAGGGACTTAGCAGCATAGTGACATTGAGGACAATCCGCTTTTCCTTGTGTTTCATCTGACAACTATCGTAGCAAGCTTCTCCTTAGTCTGATGCCATTTGTTCTTTACTATTAAGGTGATGCTGTTTTCCTTTGGAATTGTCCTATCAAGAGACTAGGCCAAGAACAGTGTGTATCAGTCCTGTCTTAGATTGTACATTCTCACTAGAGAATGTTGGCACTCCAGAGTATTTAAATTTGTGTTCCAATTTAAATCCTAGTGTGTTGACCTATCTTGATTACTGTTGCTAAGTATACATATGGGTAGATCGATGTATATCCACCTATCCATACTATGCAGATACTATTAATGTTGACTTTCTGGCCACAAGTTCTTTACTATAAAAATGATTACTAATTTTGTTTTCATTTGTTAACATTTCTTGTTTCTAGTCTGTATGACTATACAACATGCCAAAATTGCTTTAAATAATATAAATAGTAGAGAATTACTTACCTTCAGCCACTATTATATTTATTCTAGTCCCTATAGGGTTCTTTATTTGGTGGCATCAGACTTTTGGTTGGGAAAGTAATAACCACCTGTATTCCATTTATATGAATAGCTACATAAACATGTGGGAGGTAGAACTGGCAGTTTCGGTGATTTTCCTCTTTCTCCTTTGTGGGAACAATTCCTTCCAGCAGTTTTACAATTTTAACTGGTTTTATTTTGGGACATTTATCAATCTGTAGTGCTTATAGGCCATGTAAATGATAGGTTTTATTTTTGTTTTGGGGCCACTGTAATAGTAGTAATTAGAGGATCAATGATCTTCCCTCATTCTAAAAGAGACTCAGTGGTACCTAAGTGGTACTTAGCTGCTTCTGCTTCTGCTTCTCAGGCTTTCAGGTAGTACCTGCGTATGGACTGACTCATAGTTGGACCTCCTAAGAAACCCCAAGATGTTGAGTTGACTTATATCTCTTGTGCTTTTTGTAGGGCCAAGTCAGTATCATGTACCATGCTTTAAATGGAAATTACACTATTAATTTTGCCTTTGCAACTCTGTATGAGGGGTAAATGAAACCCAGAATTTTGGTAATTGAAGAATGAGTCTCGCACTTCATTTAATAAGATTGGTTAAGGAAGCCTTAGATTAAAGAGTGAGTGAAATTTCTTTGAAAAGTAGTCAGACATCTGGAATAAATAGAAGTTTCTAAAGACTTTGCACAGTTAATTTAATCATGTGGATTTTTTTCTCAGTGGGAAAAAAATGAAGTAATTCTAATTTGGTCATTTTCCTGGTGTTTCGAATGGAGCGTTAGAAAGCAACAATTTAATACTAGTGTTGTGTAACTTACACTGTCAAGAAGCTAGAAGGTTAGTACTTTTAAAATTTTGGTTATTGGGTTAGCAGTGCTTGAGAGAAAGTGAATGATTTGGTGAGCCTGAGATAGAATTTAGCTCTTTGATATGATACAAACAAATTGTGTGATATTCAAAAGAGAAAATTCATTAGACCTACCAGAATGTATATGTAATTTTTATATGACTCAAGTTGTTCATTTCTGTTTGATTATCAGATAATCCTATATCTTGATATTTGTATATTGGTGTTAAAATAGTCTTAATTTGTTATGAAAAAACAACTGCTCCCAGCTTGGAATGGGAGCAGCTTTAACAAGAAGCTTTCTTAACAAATAAAAAGCCAGCAGAGGGAGCTCAAGAACTGTTTAAAAAAAAGAAAAAGTACTAACAAAATGTTTTTGGTATTCATTTGTTCATTATGCAAGACATATTGAGTATATACTTAGCATAAATTGTGAGAAAAAGCCAAGAAGTGTACATTTGCAGATCCGGAGATTGAGTTTTAATTGTGGGATGAGAATTTATTTTCCACACTCTGTCACTTAACAGTCAACTGTAGGAGTAGCTCAGAGCACAAGTGGCACAGCAGCCCTAACAGCACGTTTGACATTGTGATTCTTCTCTTCTTTTCCACTTTCATCATGGATGTTCCCATCCTTACCACTTCCGGTGATTTCTGTGGGCTTGGACTTGCTCCATCTGAGAAGTCCCTACCAACAGTTTCACAAAAACAAAGCCTTAAAGCTGCATTAGGCCAGTCTGTTTGGAGGGCACACCAGCTGGTAATGGCAGGCTCTTGGCCAGTCTGTTGTGTTGAGGACCAGTGGGGACACTCGAATTTGGAAGCCATGGTGCTGTGGCTGTCCTGTATCCCACCAGATGGCGATGTTCTTTATCTTTAAAATGATACTGCCAGTGTTGGCCTTGCTTTTATTTGTTTCTGTTCCTAGCCCAGAAGCCAATATCTACCAGCTTTTGAAACCAAGTTTAAGTGAATAAAACCAACTCTTCCCACTGTCCATAAAAATTGGCACTTGCCAATTATTTTTTAGAGAATTAGGAAGCTCTTGGGCTCCCTCTACTGATATTAGATTAACAAGTAGGTTCATTAACCCAGAAGGTTTCAGTGTCTTGCATAATTAGAATAAACAATGAAGGAAGACAGCCGGAAGGGGCCGGTCCCATGGTATCATCTGGCTTTTGTTGCCTAATGCCAAAGAACCTAGAAGCAGACCTGTGAAAAGGGCCTAGTCTGTGCTTGGGGCCATGTGGGGACATCACAGATATGTACACATGTCTTGTGTCTCTCTGCGGGAAAATGAACAGTTGACTATTCAAGAGAAGAGAAGGGCAAAGACAACCTGGAAAAGCCATGCTTTAATGGATCTGTGTGTTCTTGCTGCCTTGGCCTTTGTTTGCTCATGCCCTAAGTTCAGTTTCCCTTGGGTTTCTAAAATTTAGACTGTGGCCTGGTACTCTGAATTATAAGCGAAGCAGCACACAAATTTTATAGTTTCAAAGTCTCGTAACTTGTAAAAGTGTACTTTAAAATGGAATTTTTATTTGGATAGTAAAAACAGCAAGCTTTTGTTGAAGTCCTGTGTATTACAGTTAGAATCTTCTGACATATAGCTTCCTGATCAGGGAGAACCAGCACTTTGGCTTATCTTTGGAGTAAAGGGTTAGACTGAGGGTGGCATGGGCAGCGAGCCTCATTTCAGGTGAGAAAGTGGGTAACACTGCCAGGTAAGATGATACAGGCTGAATTTTGGTCTGTCTCTTTTTAGAAGGAGTGAAACTTCAGTTAATTAAAATTTTTGGAAATACGTTCTAGCTATCTAGACGTAAAGTTTCACAATTCTGTGAGTGAGTGTGGAGTCTGCTGAGAGCTGCAACGGTGGGGTTCATATGCAGGACCACATGTCAAGTCCAATAGGAGGGGCGTTTCAGCAGCACAGGAGGCAGGGAGGCAGGCAGGAACAGGTCAGAAGTTAGCATGGAGGAGTGAGCAGCTGAAGGGAGAGTAGCAGGCACAGGTGGGCTAGCACTGCTTGAGACTAGAGTGAGTGAGGGGGGTCACCTGTGTGGTGTGTTACATGTGTAGGGGATCACATATGTAGGGTGAGGTCAGGGGGATCTCTGTATTCACTGTGAGGAACATAGGCTTGACTGTACAGTGATGGAGGACCACGGCAGGAGAGAAGTGGTGCAGACAGATCTTAAGTTTAGAGGGACCTCTCTGGAGCCACATAGAGAATAGAGAACTCATTCTCTAGGATATTGTATTTCATAATGATGCTAGCTGACATTGTCCGGTGGTCAGTACTCATCTGTGGTTTTCTATTTTATGGCATTTATATATTGATTCTCTAAAAATACAAGTGGATCATTTTTGTACTTTAGTGATTAACTTAACTTTGCACTTGGTGGTATAAGCTATTAAGGAATTACCCAGTATTTTATTTTGGACACTTGTGCATTTATCTGTTAAAAGGAGTAATAGAATTGAAATTCCCATTTCCTAGAGAGGAGTGTGTATGTGACTTTCTCCTCTCCTCAAGTGTAAATTGCCTATTCCGTGTATCTCCTCATTCTCTCATTCCTTGGCATGCTTGTCCCTAAAATTCCAACTGACTTTTACAGTTCATAACCATTTCAGCATATTTTTCTCTCTTTTTTTTCCCCTCACTTTGAAAATCAAAATGTTTTGCAGAACTTAAAATGTATTCTTGGAGTGGAATATCACCGTTAACAAGTGTAGAAAACTTTACAATGCGAATGCAGATTGTCTTACTGTGTAATTTTTGTTGGGGGGTATCTAAAACTACATTTTTAGAATCAGTTGGTTCAAGTGGTGAAATTATTTTGAAAATTCTTGTAATACATCTCTGCATGTTTTGTGTTCATGCCCATAGAGGTGGAAGAATGTCAGCAGTCAGAAAATGCACCTGCAGCTGAATCGGGCTGTCTGGCCGTGGAGCAGCAGCACCTCACGCGGAGTAGCAGCACACCTGACGTCACTGAGCCGCTGTGCTCAGATTCTCCTCAGGGTATGGAGTAGCAGCAGTTCCCTACACAGGGCTGCAGGTCCTGGCTGGGAAGGAGCTGCAGGCCGGACTGCATTCTACATTTATTCTAACCTGACTTCATTTATTTTTAAGGGAACTTTCTTTTTAAGTTGATTGCGATGATGTAACTTCTGGCAATGAAACATTTTCAGTTTATTTTAATACATTTATCTAAATTATATATAGTTAGGTGCACCTCTTTTAAGAGTAGCCTGTTGAGGACTGGAGAGAAGTCCAGAGGGACTGCAATAGGTAGGACATGAGAATGCTACACCACAGGGTCAGCAAGAGCAGCGAAGTTGGGGAGTGGGGGACAGGGAGGGGCGCATGGGAAAGGGCTGTGTGAGGAGAGCCATAAAAGGTGACCATGAGCATGGAGGCCTGGCCAGACTTGTGAGAAAGTTTATTAGCAGCTAGTGGACTCTGCTGAAGTTGAAACAATAACTTGGGATAACATCCATCCACACAGTGTCTCCAAAACCTTTCAGCAACAGCAGAGCATGGAAGGCAAAGAGCCAGATGGCTAGACCTTTAAACAGCAAACAATGTATTTTTCAGGGATAGCGTGTGTTTTAGTTGTGTCAGTGAGTGTGCTTATTATCATTTAGTTCTAGTTTCATCAGTTAAGTAAATAAACCAGCTTCTTTATCAGTAAGTTACCTCATAGCCTCATCAAAAGAGTAGGCAAGTGTTCCCTCTTAGAGATCTTGTTGAAATAAGAAAATACAATTAAGAAATAACTTGAGAGATGTATTATCTGAAAGATTTTCTATTCTCCAAAAGGTTTTGTGTAAGACTGCTATGATTTTTTTTCCCCCTGAAATATTTTGTAGAATCCACCAGTTCCCTGGAGTTTTCTTCTAGGAAGATTTTTAGATACCATTCAAATTTATAAATCATTTTAAGACTGTTGAGATACTTCCTTTCCATATTTTGATTCAGATTAAGATATGTTTTTCTGGGAGTTTTTTCCATTGATTTTTTTTTTTTTTTCAAATTTATTGGCCTCTTATCATTTGAATATTTATAGGCTGTGTGGCAGTACTCCCTTTTTTATTACTGAACTGGTTATTTTTGCTTTTTCTCCCCAATCTTTATTCTTGAGTAATACTGAGCCACTGTACTGCTCTATTTTCCTGTCAGTTCACCTGGCCAACTCAGGTAGCTTTCCTCTGAGATCCCTTTCTGAAGGCCCCCAGGAGAGGTCTTGGCTGCCCTCCCCTGCACTAACATAATGTGCTGAGTGGACCTTGTTGGCAACAGTGAATAGCATTCAGTCCACTCTCCCTGGGGTCAAAGATTCTTTAGAGTAGATTTGACCCGTAGGCTACCAGTTTGCCAGATCCATAATTTCTGTTTTTACATATCTTAGGATATCTAAATTTGATTTATTACTCATACATAAAAATCTTTTTCTAATTTTATCATCTGAAATTTTATTTTGTAAATCTTCCCCCCACATCTCTAGGTCAAAAGGTAGAAAACGTACAGACTTTGAGTTCTTCAGAGTCCAAGGCTATTCAAGAAAATAAAGGACATGTGAAGAAAGAACATGAAGGAATAACAGTAAGATATTTTCGAACTATAGTTTGTTATTAAAAATAAACATAAATTGTTGGGCAAAATAAATTTATTAGTAGCAGCTATACCTTTATTTATTTATTTTAAAGATTTAATTTATTTATTTTGTAGAGAGATAGCGAGAGAGGGAACATAAGCAGGGAGAGTGGGAGAGGAAGAAGCAGGCTCCCACTGAGGAGAGAGCCCAAAGCAGGGCTTGGTCACAGGGCCCTGAGATCATGACCTAAGCTGAAGGCAGATATTTAACCTACTGAGCCACCCAGGTGCCCCAGCAATACTTTCTTTTAAAACATTTCTCCCTTTGGATGGGTTATTGGCTATTGGTTATTGTGATTGGTGATTAGTTATTGAGATCTCTGTAGACTTGTTTGTTTTCTGTGTAAAATTACAGTCACATCACAAAAATAGAAAAAATTAGTGGGAAAATGGAATTTACCTTCTGGTCTGTACATACCACTCTATATTTTTAAGCAGGTATCCTTTCCTGTCAAACATATTCAGATTCCCTCTTCCTGATAACTGCTTTTAGTAGTATGTTCCACCTAACGTGAGATGCTAGCTAAGTGAGTTTTTGCAAAGATCAGTTATGATTTCTTTTTTAGAAAAATGTAAAATAGCATGTATTGGTTTTAGACTGAATATAAAGTATAAAGAAGAACATTGAAAAGTAGTCCATATCTCATGCACTCAGATAACTCCTGCTTAGTCATTTTTTAAAAATATGTAGTATATTTTAATGGAAAACTCAAACATTACAGAAAGGTACAAAATAAACAGAGAAAGCTGCTCCCTAGTCCTCCTGCATGGAAGATAACCAGTCTTTATTTCTGTCTTTATTTTTTAAAGGGGCATATACCAGTTTATGTATGTATATTCTGGATATATGTGTATGTATATTTCAACAATCAAACACCTACACATCCACTGCCCAGTTTAAGAACTAGAATTTTTCAGGTGATGTTGCTTTAGCCTATAGGTTCTTTCCTTGTCCCCTCAGAGAGCAGCATTATGTTGGCTTTGTGTTTATCATGTCTTTGCTTTGCTCTGTAGTTTTTCTCTATATATGTATGTATTTCCAAATATTATATCCTTTAGTTTTCCTTATTTTTTTAATGAGAGAATGTGTATTTTCTGAAGTGATTACACCATTTATTTTTCTGTCAGCAATGTGTCAAGAGTTCCCATTCATACAAATCAACACTTGCAGTTGTCAGATTTAAAAATTTTTATGAGTCAGATGGGTAAAAATGGGATCTCATTTTATTTTGCATTTCTCAGACTAATAAAGTTTAAAATCTTTCCACATGTTGATTGACCATGTGTTTCATGTGGTGTCTTTGCCATTTTCCTATATTGATTTTTTGTCTTTTTCTCTTTTATTTGTACTAATTCTTTATACAGTCTAAAGACTGATCCTGTTTTGATTATATTTCTCCAAATACCTTTTTCCAGCACATGGCTTACATTTTCTCTCCCAAGGGTATCCTGTTTGATGAACAGAAGTTCTTTTTTTTTTTTTTTTTTTTTTTTTTTTTTTTTTTTTTTTTTTTTTTAAATTTGGTATTTTTGTTAACCATTTTTATGGTTAGGTTTTATAAAAATCTTAAAGTGCCAGCTCTACAAGCATAAGAATACTTATACGTATTTCAGTTTTGCTGTACACATTTAGGTCTTTCATCCATCTGGAGTTGATTCTTGTTTATGGAGTGAGGTAGGATCTAATTTTATTTTATTTTTTCTCACATGGATAACCACTTGTCCTAGGTCTCATTTATTGAACTCATTTTTCCTTCATTGATATGAAATGATACCTTTCTCTCATATATATTTATCTTGACTCATTGGTTACTTTGTCTCCGTGGAGAGTAGTATAACATCTTAATTACTATAGTTCCCCTATTTCTTTCTCCCTTCTGCCCACCTTCTTTTGAAAACTATTTTTCTACTATCTTTTGTCTTTCATTGTTGCTACTGAGAATTCTTCTGTCCACTCTGTCTAGTTGTTGTTCTTTGCTGTTCTTTGTCCTTGCCCTTCAGTCTTCCTGCATTATATTTAGGTGCATTTTCTTTTGGTTTATACATTTGTCATTTTTGTATATGCTATATGTCATGCATCTGTGAATGCTTGTTCTTCCATTGTTTTGGAGAATTCTTGATAATCGTTTCTTCAAATATTGCCTCTTTTTGTTCTTTCAGCTCTTTTTTTTTTTCCTGGAATTTTGAGTAGAAATACATTTGGACTTTCTCATTTTTATCTTCCATGTTCTGTCTCCTTTCATATTTTCCACTCTTCTTGGCCCTCTTCTACATTCTGGGTAATTCATCAGATCTGTCTTTCATTCAGTTCGATAGTTCCTCTCTTTACTTATATGGAGTTGGCTGTTTAATACTTCCCCTGAGTTTTTAGTTCAAACATTATAACTTTTGCTTCTGAAAGTTCAGGTTAATTCTTTTTAAAGATTTCTTGAAATTTCTAGTAAGCTCTTGTTGCTTGCTCACTTTTGTGATTCCCATCTTTTATTCCTTTAAAACAGTTACAAATTACAATTCTAGATTCTTTTTCTGATTATCTGAAATCCTTAGGGGTGGGGATGGGGTATAAGACAGATATTTGTTGTTTCTGAAACTCTTGTACATGATGATTTATTTCTTTGGGTGCTTGGTGATATTTTATTGTGAGTTCCTAGCTGATGGACCTTAATCTATAGATCTGAATGTCTGAAGTGATGGAGTTTCACCAGGACAACACGTGTATTTGTTTCTTCCAGGAACCAAGGAGTGCTACTTTAATCCTAGACTCTTGGTCCTTTTGCCACTGGCAGTGGTGATACTAGATTTACCCTTACAGCAGCCCCATTTCACTGCTCTGGTTTCTGCTCACTTTGTGGGAGGGGTTGGAGGCAGAGTGTGGATCACTGGAAGGTTTATTCTACTTCCTGTGAGCCTGAAATTTTGGTGTAAAATCTAGTTCTATAGCTGGAGGAAATGTAGTCAGAAGCTGACGTGCCCACATTCTGCTTTTTAGTTAAGGAAAGATCCTGGGTATATTTCTGTTATCACATTAGGCATATATCATCCTTCTTTTTTTTTTTTAAGATTATTTATTAGAGAGAGAGAGAGAGATTGATTAAGAGAACTAGTGGGAGGAGGGGCAGAGGGAGAAGATGATTCCCTGTAGAACAGGGAACCTGTTGTGGGACTCGTTCCCAGGACCCTGGGATCATGACCTGAGCCGAAGGCAGATGCTTAACTGACTGAGCCATCCAGGTGCCCTGTATCATCCTTCTTTAAGGCTGGGCAATATTTTTTTCATGTGGTAGTAGTCTTCTGAATATTTAATCCATGACATACTTCTTTGTTTTAGCTTCATAATTATTCTGTCTTTTAATCATACATCTCAACCCCTCTTTTTCATTTGTTTGCTTGTTTAGTGGTCTTCCCTTTAGTGGGCTCATTGAACCCCAGGTTTTTTATGCACTTTGCCCTGGAGGACCTTAAATGTTACATCTTTATTCCTGAGTTTCTCCTCTATCTCACTAGTCCTGGAGTTTTGGTGCCCACTTACAATATATTTGCTTTGGATATTTAGCCCAAAATATCGAAATATCAGAAATCTTCTCAAGTTCCTTGGTTCTTACGCTTCCTTCTTTCCTTCTTTCCATCCTTCCTTCCTGCTGTTCTCCTTCCTTCTCTCCTTCCTTTGTCACCATCGTTCTCATGGCCCCCTAGATTCATACCCTTTTGTGATTTAATTTTCCTCCACTCCCATATACAGCTCTCATATAAGCTCTTGTCTGTCATTCTATAGCATTTTCTTATTTGTCTTTTCTTCTCCTTTTCCACCATCAAAGCCTTATCCTTTCATTCCTTAATCACTAGAACAGTTCCATAGCAATTCTCTTCTGAATTTTAATCTATCCCACAGATAACTATTAGACTTATCTTTCTAGTTATATTTTTAATCACAGTAAACTATTGTCTGGGATATACAGTTGCTCATTTTATCAATATTGGGTTGAAATTTGTAAGCCTGATGTTGAAGGCCAGTTGGCAGCTACCTCTTTTAGAGGGTGGTCTGCATTTTCTTCTTAACATTTTCCTTCTTCACCTGACTGCCTTGCATGGCCTGCTATATAATCAGCTTCTTTTCCTGCACATAGAACTTGCTGATTACCACTCAGTGCTTCCTGCCTTGAATCCCCTCCTGCCTTCTCTCTACCACTTCATGTCTGTTGCCTTCTTGAACAGCTCTCCTGTAACTGTGAGCCAATTAAGGTAACACTTTATTCTGCATACCTTTTAGAGAGAGTTTACTTGCATATTTTGCTTATGTACACTGTAATCATTTTGTGTAATGTGTATGTTTTGTCTCTCCAAGCAAGTTACAAATTGTGGAGTGTAGAGATTGCCTCCAAATGTTTTAGTCCTTTCTATTTAACACAAGGTTCAGTGTGGAGTGGTGCTCAGGAAAGTCTGTTGCACATTTAACAAGGAGGCACTGACTGACCTTTAGATGTCTGGGTGGAGTTTACACCTTCTCTGCCAGCACCCTCACCATTCCATGGTAACTTAGGCCTTCTTCAGAATTGGTTTCCTTATGTACATGTGCTCAAGCAGAGGTACAAATAAAACTTCAAAATAAATTACTTCCATAGAAACTGGCATCCCTTCTCAGTAGATCAATTTAATTGGATGTCACTTGACAAAGGAGAAGCCAAAAATTTCAGATCTTGAGTAATTTATAATTCAATTATAGTAACTTGTGAACACATATCCTTCAAATGGAAAACATCATTTAATTTTTTGTTGCTATTATTATTGTTTGTTTCTTTTTCTTTAGAAGTGTGGACTAGAAACTTAGCAGTCTTATAAAAATTAGAACTTTCCTATAACCAATGCATTATTTCTTTTTGTCTAAAGATCTTAGTTCGAAGAAGCAGCAGCCCTGCTGAATTGGATTTAAAAGATGATTTGCAGCAGACACAAGGAAAATGTAAGGAAAGACAGAAGAGTAAGTTCCAGGAATGGCAGTCTCTGTTCATCCAACTTTAGAGTCAAATCTATTTTGTTTCCTTCTACTTTCTGACTTGTATGGTATCTTATCCTTTGAGGAGACATGGCTGTGAAGTGGGACATCTTTTTTCCTGGAATCCCAGGATTGGTGGATGGTTAGTCCACACATACAGTAAGACAGATCCAGTCCATTATATGTGCCACAGAAGCCTGTCCTTCCACCCTGGGCCTTCGTCCAAGTGAGAGGCACAAGTAAGACCAGTGGCTGGTTGAGTAAACTGACCCAGAAGGAAAAATGATCGTCCCCAGGAAGATTCCAAAGGCTAGGGACAAAATGCTTCAGAAGTACACTGAAGTCAATGGTATAAGTATTTAAAAAAATGAAATTTGATTTAGATCCTTAGAGATATTATATACTGTATGTAAATTGTGCCCCTAATAATCTGCTTCCCTGAAGTCAGCTTCCTGGCTGCCCACTTCTTAGAAGCGTAGAAACAACTGCAGATCTAGGGTAGTTTTGGTAAAGGCAGAGGAGTTCCTCTTAGGCTCTACCTTCAGACCCTGTTGGCTTAGAGTTCTGTGGCAAATGAAGTAGGGACCTGACAGGTTGGTTACTGGGGCAGCTTTCAGTTTACCTGGTGGCTGGGACAACTTACAGCTGTTGGGACATGAAGAGAGGACAGCAGATTAGAAGCAGCAAGGCTGAGGGACTGTCAGCAGCGAATGCAAAGAGCAGACAGAAGAGTGAGCCGACAGGAAGGGTAGACACATAAAACTGGTAAGAAGTAGACAGAAGACTTGGAGGAGCAGACTGTCTAGGTCTGTTTTGTGTCAGACTAAATAACTCTATTAGGCTTTAATAGCCTTTGAAAGCATCATTGTATTATGACAAATTAGAACTTTTTAGTGTCTAAAGGGAAGAATTTCTTTTAGAAAAAGTCTTTTGCAGTTGGACACCTCAGCTCCTGTGAGCCTGGGTGATTCACTCTGGGTTTAGGTCTAAACCTCAAGCTCAAGGTAAAAAACATCCTTAGGCTATTGTGGCTGGCAGAATAAACTTGAATTTGTGGTGAAAGGAATTTCCATCTTCTCCTTCCACCTGTGCACATATTGTAGTTGAGTCGGTTGCAGTAGAAAGCTGAAGGACTTGATGTAATCTTTTGGGGATATGAGATAACGGAATTGAAGCCTCCCTTGAAAAGATTGTCACTTCATGGTAGGTAGGGGAGCTCATGATGACCATTAGTGCCCTGCACCTGGAGCTTTGTTTTGTTAACCAAGATCCCCACAATGTCAGCTTTTAAGCCCCTAGCCTCTGAACAGTTCCTGCTTGTCAGCTTAGTTTCATGCTGGTAATTGGGAATATTCTGATTTCCAGCTATTTGTTATCTCAGACTTTGGTTCTTCCATTGTGCCAGGTGAAAGTATCAGTAGTGACACAGCTCTGGGCTATAACAATGAGGCAGAGCTGTCCATGAGCCCATGGCCAACCTGTGAGGAAGACCCAGAACTGAATACTCCCACAGATGCTGTGACTGACTCCGATGCCCGCCATTGGTTACAGCTGAGTCCCACTGAAGCTTCGAACTTAACAGGTAACTGCATCTTTGAAAAAGGGTCACCAGTGTTACCAGTTGGGAATCCGAGAGTTTCCCAGTTGCAAGAATTCTAGGAATCCTTTAGCACAGTGATGGTGGGGTGCTACCTCTGGCCAAATTGCTGTGGCAGCCCCAACCACCTGTTCATAATCAGTCATGAATTCTCAGAGCCCTATGTGGAGAAGATCCTAAAACAGTGGTCAGACATGGGAGGAAGCAAGCCATGCTGATGACCACTGTCCACCATGGGAGGGAGTAGTGAGTGATATTCATGCCAAGCATTTGCCATCCATGACCAAATTTGCTTGACTTTGGAAACTGAGAAGAATGATTTATCCAACTCACACATATCACAAATCCAGAATAAGTCAAAGAGTCTGAACAGCTTATAGATTAATTTTTTACAATAAAATGTATGATGCATACAGGGTAAGCTGTGACCTGTATGTAAGTAATAAATGGGCCATAGTAATAAAATGATCACCAATGAGCCTACTACCTAACTTACGAAATAGAATGGTTCCCACACCAGTTCTCTCTAGGCTCTTCTCAGGTCCCTTCCCTTCTTTTGTCATCTGGTCACCCTAGGTGCCTAATTTATTCAATAATAATTCCCTTGATTTCTTTATAGTTTAACCACATATATCTGTATCCTTAAACCATGTATCATGTAATTTAGATTTTAGACTTCTAAAAAATAATATATCTGTATTTTTTTTTAAATTCAAATGTACTTCAATTCCATTTGGCTTTATTATTATCATTCAATTTTTAGAACCCCAATGCACACCATCAAAATAATACTGTTTTTCAGTTCACAGCACATGTTCATTGGTCCACATAGCCCCTTTTATTTTACTTTGATCTTTCATCTTTTATCCTCAGTCCCCTTTCCGCTTACATCACCCAAGCTAATGTGTTTACTATAGATTCATTAGTGTGATTGTATTCTTTTTTTTTTTTCCATTTTATTTTTTTTCTTTTCAGTGTTCCAAAATTCATTGTTTATGCACCACATCCAGTGCTCCATGCAATATGTGCCCTCCATAATACCCACCACCAGGCTCACCCAGCCCCACACCTCCCTTACCTCCAAAACCCTCAATTTGTTTCTCAGAGTCCACAATCTCTCATGGTTTGTCTCCCCTTCCGATTTCCCCCAACTCACTTTTCTCCATCTCCCAATGTCCTCCATGTTATTCCTTATGCTCCACAAGTAGGTGAAACCATATGATAATTGACTCTCTCTGCTTGACTTCTTTCACTCAGCATAATCTCCTCCAGTCCCGCCCATATTGATACAAAAGTTGGGTATTCATCCTTTCTGTTGGAGGCCTCATACTCCATTGTGTATATGGACCGTATTTGCTACTTTTCTCCCCTGAGTATTATATTTTTAAGATTCAGAGGCATACTACAGAGGCATACTTTCTGGATCTGCATCCCGGCTTAGCCAGTGAATTGTTGGGTGACCTTGAGCAAGTTAATCTGTCAGTTTCTTTTTTGTAAAATGTGGATAGTAATAGTCCCTATTATAGGGTTGTTGGAGGAATAAATATGAAAACACATAAGCCAGGTGCACAGAACAGTGCACATGGAAGCGCTATGCAGTTTTAGCTACACACATGTGCGTGCATGCACATACACACACACACGTATGCTCACACCCACATGCACACACACACACAAGTCTTTTCCACCATAATCATGCTTATGTGCAGATATCTTTTAGGAAAACAAAAACAAACTAGAAAGCACAAGTTGAGTGCAGAGTGTTATTAAAATGTTAAAAATCATTTTAAAATTATAAATGAAGGCTAAAATTTTCCCTCAGTTTTTTTTTAACCAACCAAACGTTGGTTTTCATTAATAATTTTGTAACATTTAACCAATCTCTAATATTCTTTGAAATTGTTGATGGAGTAACATCAAAACCTTATAAAATTTACATAGAAAAATGGTGTTGAATAAAATAATTTATCTATGAGATAGATAAGACCAAGAAATATGATCTTACTGTGTATTTAATGTGTGTATTTTAATTTAGAATAGATCATGAACAAAGAAGAACAAACCATTTAGCCATAAGTGAATAATGCATTCGTTGCCTTAAAATACTGCAGTGTTGTCCTTAAGAGACAGTGGACATCTTTGTTTTATGTATTCAAAGCTGCCAGTGGTAGAAGCTTTGCAGAGTCAGTGAGAAAATGATCGACAAAATTGTGTGCTTAGTTTTATAAATTATTGAGTAGCAATTTGTGCTTCTCAAATTTTTGATTCTTTTAAAAATGATTTAAAATTCTTTATATATATATAAAATGATATATAGATATATGTAATAATTTTAAATAATAATACTGTAAATTTATAAGTGATTTGACAGTTCACAAAGAACTTTGAGGCATCCTTCCTAATTCTGGGTGGTAAGCAGGCCAAGTCTTACAAATGCTCTTTGAGGAATGGAGAAACCGAGACATAGAGAAATCATATTGTCTGGCTAGAAAGTAATTACCAAAGTTGGAACTGGCTTCCAAAGTGTTTTGACTCCAGTGGTAGCGCTATGTCTACTCCTTTCTACTGCACTGCTGTTCAAATTACAACTGCAGACCCCTTTTAACTATTTGAGAATTATTTATACATTATGGAATAAATGGCTTCTTTGGGTCCAATATACAGATTATCCAAGGGAAATCATCATTGTAATACTGTCAAAGGCAATAGTGAATTTTCAGTAAGTTGAATTTACTTAAACAAGAACAAGTTTTAATTATTTTTACTGAAAAGAAAGAAAATTGGGTGCCTACTTCTTTTGTCTGTCCTTTGGAAAGATTAGTTTTGATCCCATTTCAGAGTATGCATGGGATAGGTCAATTTAATAAACTTGTGTAAGGTAATTTTATATGATGCACTCTGTGTTGTGATTAACTCCTCCAAATACTTTGTTCTTCTTTGAAATACTAATATAGAGAATCAGTACGCTCAGTTCAATAGTTCATCTTGTCATCTGTGAAAAGGACAAACTGTAATATGATAAGGTTTAAGGATTATCACAGTTCTGAATTTAACTTTCTGTTCTTAAGAGAACAATTTCTTCATAAATGTGCAAAATAAAACTCATGGTAGCCTGATCTTTAGGACATGCAAAAAGAATGATCAAACAATTTCAGTGTATCCTTCTTTCTCATTGAATAATCCTACAAATTATCAAATGTTTAGGATAATAAACTGCTTCTAAAATCTTGAATTCCTTCATCACTGGCAAGCTAACAGTATTTGTTTTCTCATTTACATTATTACATGTTTGCTGAAAATAACAGCTAAATTTATTTTTCTTCATTTTAAAATGGGAATTTGTTTTATTCAAGTATGGCGAGACGTGAAGACATGGAAATGATTGTTGTGAAAAAAGTTTATACTCATAGGTCCGTAGAAAGAGGGCCATGGTATGCCTTGCTGGGGTAAAGGGGGATACATGGGGAAACATCAGGGTTGGTCAGGAGGGGGCGCGAGACAAAGAAAGAAGGAAACACAGGCAACAGCCTTTATTGTTGTTTCAAGGCAAGGCTGGTGAAGCACATTTAGGATTGGCTAGTTTGAATAAATTCAGCTGATTTTGGAGCATTGACTGGTTGTTTGGTTCTTGATCCTGGGGTGCTTAAGCTTTAATGTGTAGCAACTAGATAAAGGAGGTAGTTAGGAAGTATGAGTGTTGTTTTGGTGGGTTTACGTATGAAAGACACAGGAACTATTTGCTATCCCTAGAAGTTAACTAACCCCCAGGAGGGGCAGTCTCTTCCTGCCCAGGAAAACCCTAGGTGGCAGAGCATCAAGAATACAGAAAATAATAAAATACAACTAATACATACATGAATTTTGTTATGTTCAGGTAATGATTGTAGAGGGAGGAATGTTTATGACTTTATAGCTAGGAAGCAGTATTGCTATTGACTTCATCAAATAATTTGCAATCTAGAAATACTGATATTTATGCTATAAGAAATAAAAAGATGAATAAATCATAGCCATGTCTGTCTTAAGAGCTTACCAAAAAGACAGAAGACATTTATTCTGATGGCCACAAGCTGTGTGATTAAGTGTTAAAGAGTTTTTTAAAGAAAGTTTTAGTCACAAGGATAGATAACTAAAACTAATGGAATGGAATATAAAATACATATTGAATCCACACAGGCATGGAATTGTGAAATATGAAAGACTTGGCATTTCAGCTCTGACAAGGAAAGAATACATTGTTGAACAAATGCTTGTGGACAAGTATTCAGCTATACGGAGAAAAATTAGATAGAATCCCTACCTCTCACCATGCTCACAGACAGATACAATACTGAAATGTGAAAAGATTTTAAAATTTTTAGAAGAAAACATTTTCTAAAAACACGTCTAAGACCTTGAGTTAGGGAAGATTTTCTTAAACAAGATGGAAAAAGAAAAACTATCAATCAATATCAATAAGATAAATATCAATCATTAATTTAATTTTAGCATACTTAAAATTTTTTCATTATCAGAAAAACTTTAAGAATCCCAAGGGTTTGCAGAACTCCAAAGGTACAAGCCAGCTTTGATGTTCTTTCCAATTTCCAGGTTCCTGTCAGGTCAGCAATACATTTTAAGATAAGGTTCGTTCAGTAAGATATTGTATCAAACATTTTAGTTTATTTGGTGGAAGCTCCTTGGTATCCCCGACTGGAATATAAGCTTTAGGAGTGGGACATTGCAGATTCTTGGCTCCTAGAATGGTGCACCGCAGGAGAAAACATTCAGTAAATACTTGAATCAATAACTGAGTAAGCTTTAAGTTGCAAGCTACTGGTTTTTTGGTTTTGTTTTGTTTTGTTTTCAGTTAAAAACAGCAATTAAATTTTAATCTTTTTTAAGAATAAAAAGTATGTAAGATTCAGTTTCTAAATCTCTTCCATTTCGTATATTTATCAAGTCCTGCCTCCAAGTGTTATGGAAATCTTTTTACCACTTGTACT